GATTGCTTTAAATGAGCAGGAAAAATACCAATGTATCTGAGTTTAGACAGTACAAACAAGAGGTAAAGGAAAAAATTCTAAAAGCAGGGAAGTTTTTTTCCATCTGTTGTTATTTGCAGACACCTTAAAAAAAAAAAAAAAGTGACTTGTGTAACAAGTTTTAGCTTATTGGCATTGGTTTTCTTAACTTTTGCAGAAGCTCTGGGAACAGTCTGGTTGCCCTAGGAAACTGGTTTGCCTCGGGAATGTGTATTCTGTGAAAAGCCAAGATAGCTCTCTCCTGCCCTTTACACCCTCGTACATCTTCCTCAGCAAAAGGTGGTGCATGTTGCGACCAGTCTGATGCCAGCTGGTCAGCCAGCGCGTATGTGCTACGGAACTGGTCACAGACCACACAGTCACCGCTGACCTCACTCCTCCTCTGTTCAATCTTAGGTTTTTGTGAACATCTGGGGAACTTCATAGCTTTGAGAGGTTTCATTTATGTCGGTCAGTAGGCCCAGCTGTTGTTGTGGGCGAAGAGAAATGGTGCAGTAAGAAGAAAAGCTTGATTCCTTCAGAAACCAAACTGAATGCTATTAAAGGGATTTTTACCCTTCACAGGAAAAAGAGTCCTCTTCAATTTCCTGCACAGTAGTCTTACCAGGTTACTTCTACAGGCAAAAGTAGTTGATAGATGCAGGTAACAATCACAAAGGTAAGCTTTCGAGTTTAATTTCCTGCAGTCGTTTTCTTAGGTAAATGCAAAATCGGAATATAATTGTTTCAAAGGGGAATAAAGAAAAGTCAGTAAATGATGTCTTTTTATCTTAAGGGCACCTTGCTTGTGATTAAAAGCTTGGATTAAGTCCCTGGCTGAAGTTAGCCTTGTTCTAAAACATGCATAGAAGATAGGAAAAGAGAGCTCCAGCAGTCACTGTAATGAGTGAAGAGGGCTCTGTCTTGCAGGAAGAAAATTTGCATTTGAGTAGTTATTGTCTGTGCCTTGGAATTGATCTTAGTTTACAGCTAACTACATGATTCCATAATTACATGGTGAACTACATGAGGTGTACAAAACTAGGAAGAATGGTGAGATTGCAGCAATGGAACAGCGTAAGCTTGCTGAAGTCTTTTGAGAGGCAGAAAGAAAGATTTGGACTGCTGGTAGTTTTACAGAATATATGTAGCTGCATATTAAAAAGATTCTTTCTGCCTCATATAGAGGAATGGAGTGGCTTTATTAATTTGAGGAAGATTGGTTTGTACAGCCAAAGATAACAGATTGGAAGAATTATTTTCTTATAAAATGAATATTAAAGTTGGGAACACTTACTAAATAAAGAACGAAAAGTTAATGTCAAATAAAACAAACTAACTTTTTCTTAAAAAGCTAAATTTGCCAAGTGCATATGTTTTGAAGGAAAGATTTCATAAAATAAGTTGCCAAAAAAGAAATTTGTTTTTTGTACCCTACTTTTTAAGAACTGTAGAGGAAATTAAATTACATTAAACTCAGATCTCCGGAACACAAAATATCTTTTCATTTCTGGGGATGACATTGCATTTAAATTAAAATCGATATTTCAGGTTGATACTATAAGAGCTGTAAACTACATAAAGCTTGAGGGAACCTTGGCACTAAATAAATATAAATGTTGAATTGCTTCTCCTTCATCTGGCTATAGAATTTGGAATTACGTTCTCTCTGCAGAACACTTTCAGCTGAGTCTTGAGCATATTTCATGAGTGAACTTAAAATACATTTGCCCCCGAGCTTATAAAGCAAATACACGTCTTCTGCTTTAGAGAATCATTGAAGGAATCTCTCCATGAAGAAGTATTACTTGAGATGGAATGAATAAAGAGAAACCCATTACCAAAGCTCTAGTGATACAACAACTGTGAGGAAGAAATGGAGACAGTATAAACATTACCCAGAAGTCTCCGTCTAGGCAGTATTTTTAATTATTTTTAATTTGCAGAGCCCATATTTTCAGCAGCTCTTAAGAATACCACCACCTGGTGTTGCCAGCTCTGTTTTGAGGTGCAGCTAGTAAAATGCAAAGGTTTTTGTCCTTATAGTATAAGAATAGGAAAAAAAAAATCCATTCCCTGTGCTTCTTATCTTAATCTAGCAATAGAAACCTCAGCGTTGTATACAAGTGCTGTTTATTAACTTAAGCACCTCTTTTGAGGTAGAAAATCAGAAATTGAAATAAACTAAGTTGTTAATTAGATAGTGTGTACCGCCTTGTTTTTTCTTGTTGCTCCCACAAAACTGCTTTGAAACACTTGGGGAAACATTGGTCAGATTGTGTGATAAATTTCTGACCTAAAGAAATTCCACAGTAAAATGAATTTAGAATAATATTCATTGCATTCCTATGCCCTGTTTTCTTTATAAAATGGGCTGTAGATCCCAGCAGAACTGAAGCATATCAAATAGAAACTTAAGGTGTTTGTGTTTGCTAGTTTGTGAGGATTGTACACTCAGTGTGGTGGCATCTGGCTTGAAATGTTCAGGGAATGGCTCCACGTGGAAGAAGCTTGGTGACATAATTTTAAAAAGATGAGCAAGGGAGGAAGAAAGAAATGGAAAGTCTTTGACACATTGTAATATAGATTTTCCATTTTCTCCAGATTAAAAAATCATTACAAACTGTATTAAATTTCAGCACAAAGTTCCACTAAGGCCTTGCCTGTCTTCCCAAATACTGTATACAATGTATTGCTGAATCACTAAAGGCATCTGCTGAGGAGGGAGAAATAAGGCAATCAGAAAATTGTGTGGATCATGACTTTGGGAGGTAGGGACGCTGCTATTAGGAATAAGAATTTTGCTGAAGGGAAACAGACCCTGGGCAGAAGCATCTTCAATATGGAGAGCCTGTGTCAGGAGGGAGAAGGGGGTGCTCTGACTCAGGGTGAAGGGAGGATGGGGATCTGGATGTGATCTGGCCTATGTGCAGGGAGAAGCACGTGGAGTCAGAACAGCTGTGTTTGTTCTGGGGGAGGATATTTGTGGGTGCTTTTTTACACCCTTTACCTCCACAGAGTTGTGCTTTATCTGTAGCCTTGCATGGCAGCTGGCCGTCTAAATTCACAGTAATGCTTTCTGTATTAAATACAGTCATGCAGAAATCCTCCTTTGGTTCTGAAGTTGTATAAATTTGCAAGATTAAAAAAAAATATGGTTGCTTCGTGAATGCACTAGTCTTTTTAAAATGCTAAGTTCACCAAAACTGAGACCCCTTTCATTGTTTTGATCTGATTTCCAGCGTAGTTGTCATAGTTTAGCACTGCCCAATAACAGATACATCATCTCTGTCCTCACAGAATGTGCAGAAAAGTGAAGAAACCAGGTAGACTGCCACAGAATGCAGTCCAGTGTCTGTCTTTTTCTAAGCATAAGGTTTGTGAGCTTTGCCATACCAAAACTATGTCCACATACTCTGTGCTCACATCCTTACCCAACTACACAGAATCAGGACCGTATACGCTAAATTAAATGACCCCTTTACCCCCTTGAATTAGCTATTTTATCTGATAAACAAGGTATTGTCATAATGATGGATAAATGAGAATATAGTGTTACTGGTTAGCTGCTCTGCTTCTCGTGTCTTTGCTGGTAGCCTTCATGGATATAGATTCTGCTGGGCTGCCTTGACTGAAAAAAAACCCACTAAAACAAGGTTTGCTGACCTCAGTCTCTCCGTGTACACGTGAACATCTCTCTGGTTGCCAACAGTGTAAGAGATGGCTGGCTCTAACCAGATTTACTTTTTTTATGACCAGAATCAGATACCTGTTAAACTCTCCCAACCAACACCTTCATCACCACCTGATACAATGAACACAGCTGTAATAAGTAAGTACTACTGACCATCAACCATCTACACACAGGAAGGAAAACTTGTAGATGCCTTGGGTGGGAAACTGGCTTTCCTGGCTTTCAAAGTTACGAATTTTCACTAGCTTGGAGGACCTGAGATACCACCTGAACTAGTCTTACCACGTATAAACAAGAATAAATTTGTTAGCGAATTAAGTTAAATGGTTTTAAAGGAGAAGAAATCTGGTTTTAAGATGAAGTAACACAAGGTAATTTATAAGAGTGAATGAAAGCGCTGAACTCAAATCACTACTTTCTTCCACAGTATAAGATTCTTAAGCCTGTCAAGTTGTTTTCTTAATTCGTGCAGAGCAGCACGGTCAGTGAGAATGGAAAAAGCAAAACCTGTGGAGAAATATAAACTGATGCACTCTTGATGATGGGCTAGGGAAGTCTGTGGTGACCGTGTTTCAGGTAGGCTGTATGTAACACCCAGCAGAGCAGCGTAATGCAGTAACTCGTCTCAAAGAGGATTGTGTCTTAATTTTGTGATGGTGTGAACACTATTGTGTAGGTGGAGAAGTTCAATTAGATTCCTGAAAACTTCAGGCACTTTGAGTTCCCCAAGCTGGATGTATTTGCAGGATACCGCCTGTTTGCTTTAGTTCATGGTTTGCCAACATTTCCCGTGTCTTCACAGGAATAAAGTACTTAAAGAAGGGGTAAAGCAGTAAACAGCATCAGCCCTGTTTCTCCTCAGTTAATCTTTACTGAAGGAGAGGACTACATCAAATTAACCTTTTAGAATATAAAGACTGGAGAACAGCATCCAAGTTCTGGTCTGGTACAATACAGATTATTTCTGTTGACTTTACAAGCGCATACACACAGATGCATGCACAGAGCCCTTTCCCGTGTGTTTGCTTCAGTGCTTTGGGAGCTCTATAGATGGATAGTTTTCTGATTCATTTTTGTTTTGTCTTTTGAGATCAGTGTCAGTGATGGTAGGCTCGGTTTACATTAAGAACTGCTTGGTATTGAAAGTTATATTAAAAACCGTCCCCACTTCTTTACAGTACAAACAAAACAAACAAATAAAATACTCTAAATATATGAAGCGTGTTAAAAGAAGCCAATGAGCCTTCCAGGAGGAGCCAGGGAGAGGTGAAGCCACAAGGAGTCTGAGGGTCCATGGGAAGAATTGCAATAACAAGTTGGTTGGTGAGAGAACAAGCAGAGCATGAAACTAAATATAGAGCTCAGCCTTATCAAAAACAGATTTTTATTTTTTCCTCTTGTCATCTACAGTATACTTCATGTTACTTGCTCTCTAAAATTCATCCGTCTGGTAGATACATGTTCAGCTGTCATTGACTTAATCTCTCTTTTTTTTCATAATGTTTTTGTTTGCCTAAATATAGGCTACTGATGTGTTCAAGCTGAAGACAAGTTAGGTGCAAATATTAGGCAGTTATGTATAACTGCATTTCATAACATTATTTTAAACTGAATTTTATATGTCTGAGAATATCGGGTATCATTTTTGGCCATTTTAGGCTGTACGCGAATTCAATAGCAAGTAAGTTTTGTTATTTGCTACATCAATAGCACTCTAAATTTGTATTTAATAAAATGTCCTCATTGTAGCTTGTATTCTGCTTAGCATTCATGCTTTATTTAGAACTGGGAATTGAATGCATATTCAGTTAGGAAGGGCTGGTGAAGGAGAGCTCAGCTGTACCTCCTCCCATTCAAAAAACAATCATAAGACTCTTAATTTTCCTTTTTCTTCCTTGGAGTCATTGGGATTATAACTTTTTATATTTAAAATATTTGAGCAAATGGAAACTAGTTCATCATAAACAGTGGGGGTTCACAAAGCCACCCCATAGGTAACACACTTTGTTTTTAATGCTCACATGGCCAGCTTCTCTACATCAAAGTGATGGACTTGTGCATACATTGTAGTATGGCCCTGTCCTTGTGGTCAAAGGCAAAATGATATAACAAATGTCACGTGCTACAAATTCAGAAGAGTGCAGGAGTTGTTAATTTCTTCTACAATTTTCTTCAGGCTCTATTCTCTGAAACCATGCCAGAGATGACAGAGAATGAGACACCTACTAAGAAGCAACATCGGTGAGTTTCTGTGGCAAAATTACAATTCTGTAGTTCTGTAGTCTGTGGTCATGGTCGCGGTTAGGAAGTTTCTAGCTAAAAGTTTGGCAATAAGGGTGTTGACAGGAAGTTCTGAGCATTGACCAGGGTTGATCCAAAAGTTTGGGAACTATGGCTGGAAAACTCACTTTCTCTCTTCCCCTATCTATGCTCAGTTTTTTGTCAAAGACATGTCTACCTGGGCCACCTAGGCAACAGAGATTCTTTGATTATTACACTGACTACTCCAATGTGTATAAAATTCTGTTGCCATCTCAGTTAGATCACAGCCTGTATCATTGCAGAGACTCCTGGTAGATATTGGGGAGTCACTGTACTCATTTTGACAGAGTGGTTTTGATTTCTTCCTCAACTCCCAATAGAATCTGGATGTTACTTCTCAAACCTCTGCTGGAACTCAAAATACATCTTGAGGTTGTACAGCAACACTATGACCAAAATTTGTAACTAAGTGGCTCAGACCTCATTACAACTTTTCCAGATTTTCATTCCTTTGTAGTAGCATGTTGATCTAATACCGGACTGGCAGGGAATCCTTCAGTCCCTAGTTAAACACAGCATTCATCTTATGCTAGCTGGCCACATAGGATATGATCTATGATAAAAGAAGCTCATAGAGAACATTGATTTGTCCTACAGAATTTTTTTCAGTCTTTATGGACTTTGTGACTCTTTCTTACCCCATTAATAAAGTATTTTGGATTCTGTATTGGTAATGGGAATTAAAGGGCAGCTGGTTCTATCCAGCCCATATATTCTTGTGCATATTTAGGATAGATGATGAATTCTGACTGGCAGATGATTGGTTTGGATATAAACGGAAGAACTGTAGCTTCCTGTAAAATAGGAGACCATTTTAAATGATAGCTTACATGCATTCTGTTCTGTGGTGGTGCAAGTTTTCAGTGAGCAAAAGATTCATCATTTCCTGAATAATTGTAGAACAGATGTGCAGGCTTCAGCTGGCATTTATTTGACATGTTAGGCATTATTTCTTAGCAAATCTTTCCAGGTCTGACTATCTGAAGTAACAGTACTGTCTTGTAATCGCTAAGTTGCTCAAATGCACACTACTTAAGGTCAGTTACACCAGAAATAAACATCCGTCAACTCAAAGCATAAAGGATACACGCCTCATAGTAATCACACGTGTCATCCACATGTATCTTGCATTCTCACTTCAGATCCCTTGTTATATCTGGACTGTGCTGTAACAGTGGAGAAAGAGAGGAGAAGATGCTACTCTGCTTTTTGCATACTCTACCCAAATGTCTAGACTGAGAGTGCACTGCTGGACAGAAATCTTTTGAAAGATCTTTTTTTTCTAGAATGTTTCTTTTTCCAGAAAACGCATGCTTTGCTTTATATATTTCCTGAAAGTATTTGGCTTACTGTATGTGTATAGTACCTCTGATTTTTAGGTGTAGAGTACACATTTAGGATTTACTGACTTCCAGCAAAGCCATTTGAGGCATTGCACAATGAGTCTGACCTGGTTGCCATCAGTCCAGAAATCCCAAGTCAACATCTGAAAACAATGACAACCCTCACATGCCCAAATTACACAGAATTTTGAGGCAGTAAAGAAGAAAAACTGCAGAGGAATGCAGAGGAATGTGGTTTCTCACACAAAGGAAACATGTTTGATACCAGAAGGTTTGATGTCTGAAGGTAATGTGTCTGGAAAAAATCTATTTGCTTCATAACATCTTCTGTTTCATTGATCCAGTGAACGTAAAAGCAATATTTCAAACAAATACTTAACTACCTCGCTGCTCAGAAATAGAAATTTTTGGGTTTTTTACTATTTGGCCTTACTGAATGCTGGATAGTGTAATAGTTGTCACTGAAAAGAAACATAAACCTCAGCTCTGTGTTATAAATATGTAAAAATAATCAAATGGAATATTATGCCATGTCTTGTTATACTGAAATTGATTTAAGTCTGAACACAAATTATTTTTTTGTTAGAAACTATTTAATGTCCAAGACAAGTCCTTTTGAGTTTGACTTCTACTATGTTCTTATTCACAGAGCAGAATAGAATATTTAGTATTTTTAGCTATAATGGAAATAATAAAATAAATACTTGTTTGTATATTTTTTTCCCTTCTGTTTCACATCCCTGTTTTCCCTTTATGTTTCACAGAAAGAAAAACCGGGAGACACATAATGCAGGTAGGAACATTATGCTTTGTTGTTTGATCTGGAAATAAGCACAGGTGCTTTGAACTAGTAAAACATACTTTGCATGGAGAAGATTCCTCCGTAGCTTACTACACTTAAAAAACCCACCCTACCAAACACCTTTCTGTGTCCTTGCATAGAGTATCTATGCAGAAGGGCTTCTTAATTGTTTTTAGTTTGCTGTTTTCCATGGTACAAGGTTACAGTAGCATGCCCAGGTTTGAAAGTAGGACCATGCCCCTGGCTTTCCAGTGCTAGCAACCTAAGAAGTAAATCATTTCAGTTGTGTTCAGTTGTAAAGGAAAATAAATGCACTGGCACACACAAATAATACCCACCTGTCTTTAAACAGAGACAGATATCTGACCTGAGAGCTTTAGAGGTTCCCTGGATTAGAAATATTCCAGTAACCTGTCCCTGAGGCACCCACCTGGATGTTGATATCCCAGAAATTCTGTGTCAATTTGTATGTTGCAGGAGTCACATCCCTCGGGCAGCAACTAGTCAGTGTCTAGCTCCAATGCCATCTTCTGCAAGTAGCAGCAGGGGGATGGACTGGGAAAGACTCTGACAGTTTTGGGCCTGGTTTATCCTAAGAAATTGATTCCAGTTCTTCTTTTACTAAACAGCACTATTGTGTGTTTTTTCACAAACTCAACTGGTAAAACCACTGAGTATTTTCCATGTGAAGGCTATGGAATATAGTGCTTGTCGGGCTGTGTCCAGGGCGTGGCCAATTTCTTAAGGATTAAGAAAGATCAGGAAATAGTTTTATCAAGTCTACCTTGCTGACCTCATTCTAATTCTCAGTTCCTGTTTTACTTGCCAGTAGTTTTCCAAAGTCTTCATCTCCTGGGCTGGACTCTGCAAGATGTGGGGACCAGCTCCCTCCAGCCCTGTAGCTTGCTTAGTCATTAGTATCTGGACAACCTGAGTAGAGCATAGAAAGTATTATCAAAACAAAGAACATGTCTTTTTAGCCACTGCAATATCTGCATGTATTAGTAAGATACATAAAAATGAAGCCCCAAGGATCATGTGTTTTAATGTTCATACAGCTTCCCTGATTTACATGGTAAATTCCTTGCAGAAGAGACTTTGTCTTGCTGTGTTTAGTGTAATTAGGCCTGTCTCTGTCAACACCACCAGTCCGTCCTGAAATGCAAAAAAACAATTTAGTAGTTTGAAAAATGTAAAATGAAGAGACAGTCTACTGAAATAAAACTATTTAAATTAAATCTCTATATCCTTTTTAAAGGAACACAAGAACAGATACTCACCTGTACATTGCTGTTTGTTTCTGTGTGCCACCAAAAGCAGCTGGGCTCACAAACCACAGGGTGATGCTCAGCACAGTGAATGAAGATACATTGATTTGAATCTTGACAAAGCCATGACAGAACTTTTTTTCAGGCTTTTTGGGAAAAAGGCATCTAATAGTTTTAGTTTGCATAGAACACCAAAATATCTTGGTCAAAAAAACTAACTACATGAGAGTGAACTATATTTGAAAGAAGCTGACTATGGTAGGTGGAAAACAGAGATTAATACTGTCTGAAAAAAACATGCTAGACTTGTAGCATAGACCCTTTACACCAGTGTTTAGGCCTTGTGAAAAGGTAAATGATGTTACTTAGAGGGCTATAAATGAAGCATTTTCTGACTTTCTCCAAAATAGCTAATTCACTGGAAATACTGTTCACTCAATAATTATGACTCCCAGTCATAATTAGACCCTGTGGAGCACAGAACATAAAAACCAGTAACTGACAGTCCATATGCCTCGAGCTTCAGCTATATTCAATGTTAGCTGCTCCATCAATATATATTGAAAACTGGTAAAATCTGAATTATTTCTCTTTTGGTGCTAAACTTGACATTGGTATTTAAGAGACACAGATTTCCCTCCTAAAGGTGAAACTGATTCTTTCCATAATTTTGTTCATTTCCTTTCTGTATGCCTAAATTTAATCAATCTGCTTTGTGAAAAGAGTTTCAGAAAACTCAGCTAGAAAGCATTATCAAAACCTGAATTTTGAGTTGCAGTAACTCTTCTTTTCCATAAAGGGATCCAGAACATCCCCACCTTTTAAACATATGGCTGTTTATGTTACAGCTCTCAATTCTGCTGAGTATCGATTCACTAACTGACGTTTACTTTAGAGGAGTTTTTCTCCTCTCTTGAATTACTGAGGGTTCCAATACATCATGAAAGAATGTATTTATGAGTCCTTACATTGGTAGTAGTTGTGCTGCTGCTGTGCTGACTTGCTTGGCCGGATGACACAGCACATGTTATTTTTGCTTAGTGGAGAGACATCGAAAGAAGAAGATTAATGCTGGGATAAACAGAATTGGAGAACTCATTCCCTGCTCACCAGCACTTAAGCAGGTTAGTATCCTTTCCGAGGTGCATACAAGTTGTCTGTAAACTGCTTTTGTGTTTCCTTTTCTGTGGAAGTATAAATATTTATTTTGCTATTTGTTTGGGGAAGAAGGCAAAACTGTCTGAATTAGGTTTTTGAGTGTGTTAGCATGTAAAAAATTATTTGTAATAGAATTCCTTTTTGGATGTGCAAGGCCACGTGAATGTAATTACACAGATTTTGAGCTTTTTATTTTAAAGTGTTGCATATGACTGCTAAAGGAATGAAATGGTATGAGTTGGACACGCTACTGACTTTCTCCTCAATTCACACATGCGGTATTTTTGGGCAGGTGTAACCTAGACTAATTACCCACAGCGATTTGGTCGGCTTGTTGATGTCTGCCTGCCTCTTTGATTCACATGAAGTTCTCGTTCAGGGTGCCTGAAAGTTGATAACAACAGAAGGTGACAGTCCTGTCTCGGCTGCTGCCTGCCCTGTTGCATTGTAGCTGTTCACCCTTTCCTCTGTAGGAGGGGTGAGACAGAAGTAGGTTGAATCTGGCCCGGTGGTTGCTGCTTACGTTATGCAACTCCCGTTTGTCAGGTTATTTTCTACTGATGCTGTTTAATGCCGTCCATATGATGCTTGAGTGGTGAAAGCTGTGGGTTAAGCAAGATCATATTTCAGGTTATTCTCCAATCCCTTCTCAGCCCTTTGCTGGTGATACCTTTATGTCCTAAGATGTAAACAGAATTGCATGCATGCTTCTTTTTGTCATCTTTCATACAATGGGATGAAAGCAACTCAGAAGGTAAAATAATAGTAATTTAAGATGCTGTCCTTGTGAAAGATGGTTCTTTTGAAAGCCAGACAAATGGTTTGAGGTTGATGCACAGAAGCATCTTTGTCAAGACAGGAATCTACAGCAAAGGCTGTTCTTACAGAACAGTAGAAGAAGAAGGTAAGATGTGAACGAGAGGTTTCACAGGCAGAATAAGCATAGCTTCATAGAAGGAAGATGATAGAAGGGTTGTGGCATATTTTCTCTTCCCATATTCTCCAGTCTATTACTTTTTAAATTATGCATACACCTCCCTGGATAATTGTTCTATGTTTGTTTCTTTCCTAATAAAATATTTACAAGGTAGAATCCTGGAAATTTCATGTGATATATATGTTTATTTGTGAACACAGATTTTAGCCCGGTCAGCAAGAAATGATGTTTGCTGTTCGTGTTCTGTGGCCTTCCAATGCCTTCGGGCACTGGAAAATGTCAGCTCCAGCACTGAAAATGTAATTTTGTAAAATCTCATGGCATTTTAGGGGCAGTATCACTCATGAAACCTGTGGTTCATCTAAAAAAAAACCCCTACACAAAAATATCCCAAAAATAAATTAAACCTCTCCCACCCAACAGTATTTGGAGGATTATTGGGATTAGCACGTTTTTAAAGTAAAGACCTCTTGGAGCAAGTGCGGTCTCATCATTAATGGATCTACCAGTAATAGACCTTTCTCCTAATTGTGTATATGTTTTCTTTTAAAGAGCAAGAACATGATCTTGGATCAGGCCTTTAAGTATATAACAGAAATGAAAAGACAGAATGATGAACTTCTGTTAAATGGAGGGAACAATGAACAGGGTAAGTACCGATGCTGCTGGAGGCTCTAGAATTTCTGTCAGTCCCTTTCACTGTGTGTCTGTTAGTACTGACTGACAACAAAGCCTGGATCAACAAACTTGGGAATCCCAAGACATTATGCACATACAGGAAAAATACAGCTGCTTACAATATTTTGAAACAAGAAGCCAACAGAATGCCCAAGCATTCTTGCACAGAGCTATGAGATAATGAAGCAATGACGTTGTTGATGTAATTACAGAGCTTATAGGTGATGCGACATCATCTAGTAGATTCTGTCCTGATTTATGCTGCTGTAGCAACCCGAATGATTTCTGACAAACTTCAGTGGTAGAATTTTTTCACTGAAAACGCGGAGTTTCCTTCATGCACAGAACAGTTTTTGTTTTCCTTTCAAATGCTGAAAAAGTGATAGACTATTTTATAAAATTATAATACATCATATAAAATCTTCCTGAACAGATGTGTAAAAATACAGTGATGGAGGTATGACAGAAATAATCTCAGAGTCAATGTTGCAGTTTGTGATTTTTATTTCTTAGCCATAGAATGGAATTCTAAACAGTTTATCTTGTTGATATAATTGGGTTTGAAAAACCTGGGTGACTTTCCTAGTTAGGTGAGCCGTCTCCAAGTACGTTGCCAGTTTTTCTGGCTTTACATAAGTGCTTTGTATTTAATTTTGCACATCATTTTTAGATGTGATGTAATGAAACTTAATTGTCCTGGAAAGCCATGAGATTATCAATTAAATTAAAACAGTAGTGTTTTAAGAAGAGGAGGGAAAAGAAACAGAAAAATTAATGTGATTGTCTTTCCTACAGTAATTAAATAATTTGATTAGTGTTAGTTTCGTCTGAGTTGGTCCTGATGGTCTTTCTAACTAAATAATTTGACATGTTGGTACATATTGTGTAATTTGACATGTTGGTAAGGTGTTGCTGTTGGTAACAGAATAGTCTGTAAAGTTCATTCACCTTCCTGCTCAGTAGAGAGGCTTATTAGGATAAGAGACTTCATATATCTTATGTTAACCATTTGAGGAGAGTGTACATTATTAACAATTTATTTCAATACTACATAGAATTTAGTCTCCAAGTCATGTGGTAACATTACCTAGTGTTTGCTCTGGTGCTGATGTAATGGATTGCTCTCACTGTTTTGTAGCTGAAGAGATAAAAAAACTCCGGAAACAGTTGGATGAACTGCAAAAGGAAAATGTGAGATACATTGAACTACTGAAAGCAAACGATATTTGCCTGTACGATGACCCGACAATCCACTGGAAGGGAAATCTCAAAAATGCAAAGGTCTCAGTTGTTATTCCCGGTGATCAGGTTCAAAAGAACATTATTGTCTATTCAAACGGGAGTCAACCCAACGGAAATAACCAGGGAGCATCTGTCCAGGGAATAACGTTTAATGTTGGTCATAATTTACAAAAGCAAACAGCCAATGTTGTGCCAGTCCAGAGAACTTGCAACCTAGTGACTCCTGTGACAATTTCTGGTATTTACCCCACAGAAAACAAGCCATGGTCACAAACTACAGTGTCTCCGCTGGCATCAGCTCAGACAGCTCCAGCAGGGAACGTTCTTGAGCTCTCCACCCTGGAAAATGAGCGAGGCGTGCTTGCCACTTCTCCTGCCAGCTTGCAGAGCGTACCTCGATCCGGCACAGAACAGGAACTACAGTGTTCTTCAAGTAACGCACCACAGAATGATCAAAATCTCCCCAAAAGTAAAAATGAGGAGGAGGGCACTAAATCAACAAAGAAAACACTCCTGCAGGGAATCAGTCTTCCTTCCAGTGCCTCCACAGAAGCCTCCCAAGTTCAACAAGCGAATGCAACCTGCTCAAATACACACAGTTCTAGGAGTGACCTTCAGGAAAGCTGTGTCATTTCAACCACAGACACAGCTTGTGTGCCCTCCGTGAGACTGTCTACTGCGGAAGGTTTTTCCTCTGTGAATGTCCTCAAAAGTACAGACTTAGTAAGTAGTGCTGGAATGCCTGTGACTTCTGCAGCAGAAGGAGTTAAGGCCACGACAGCAATAAGCACTCTGCCTGCCAGTCCCCTAGAGAACTGCTGGTCTTTTTCAGGCTCTTCAGGTGTTGGTGCTTCAGACTTGAAAAACATGAGTAGCCTTACACGGATGCCTTCAGCTGGAAACACACAGACCACGTGGACCACTCTGCAGCTAGCGGGAAATACTGTCCAGCCACTAAGCCAAACACCATCCAGTATCATGACTGCACTATTAAACGAGCCAGTTAATGGTGCTGGGGCTGTACCTTCTGCTCACAGCAGGCCTTTGACTACAAGTATCAGTTTGAATGCTTCTCTGCCTGGGGATGGCCAGGCAGCTGAACAGATTGTAGTTACCTTGCCCTCATGCCCACCCTTACCTATGCAGCCGTTAATCAGCCAGCCACAGGTTAAAACTCAGGCTGCAGGAAATATCCTTCCATTAAATTCAGCTATGCAGGTGATCCAGATGGCTCAGCCAGTCGCGGCTGCTGTTACAGGAGCGCCAGCAAACCAGAATGTCATCATTCTCCAGCCTCCAAACCCCGCTCCGTGCCCTCCGATTGTGAGAGCGGAAGTACCCAGCCAAAATGTTAGTCAGCAAATTGTAATTATACAAGCTGCTAATCAGAATCCTCTTCCCCTCCTCTCCGCTCAGCCTTCTGCTTCTGTAAGAGTTCCTGTGAACGGGCCCACTGCAATCGCGAACTCTAGCAGCTCCATACAAAACGCCTCCCTTCCACAGACTTTTGGCGGGAAGCACCTTGTCCATATATTACCAAGACCATCTTCTTTGCCATCTTCTAGCTCTACTCAAACGTTTTCAGTTACAGTGTCCAGTCAACAGCATCCTCAAACTATCTCATTAAATGGGCAGCTTTTTGCATTGCAGCCTGTGATGTCTTCATCTGGAGCTTCAAACCAAGCCCCTATGCAAATTATTCAACCCACCACCAGCGAAGATCCAAATACCAATGTTGCCCTCAATACATTTGGTGCTTTAGCTAACCTCAATCAAAGCATATCGCAAATGGCTGGACAGAGCTGCTTGCACTTGTCTCTCAGCCACCCTACCAATCCCACAACTGTCAATAACCAGATTGCCACAGTTAACTGTGTGTCATTACCAACTTCTGTGGCATCTTCAGTACCTGCGGAGGTTTCGGTATTAACTAGTGCATCTACTTCAATAAACGCTTCCCCAAAAAAAGTGGCTGCTGGCTTGCCATCCAGTGCAAAGTCAAAAAGGACAAACAAAAAGCCAAGTACAAAGAAACACCAAGCAGTCAACAGTAAAGTGTCAAGCCCAGCAGGTCCTTGCAAAGACGCAGGGAAGGTGGATTGTGCTCCTGTGGAAACAGTGGCAAAGCATTCAAACAGTGAGGGGCTGCTTGAAAACGCTCCAGCGGTATCAGTCTCGCAAGCTTTAACGACGTCACAGGCAAGTAGTGTTGTAGCATCAAGTGGCATCAGCGCTTCTGAATGTCCTTCCAAAGAGACTGCAAACTCTGAACAGGCAGCCAAAACCTGCTCTGTCCCTGAGCCAAGCGCAGCGGAGGCGCCTGCTTCCTCACCACTGGCATCCGCTGTGTCCGAGCCGCTAGCCCTCGTCCCGCCGCCTGCCAAAGATGCTGCCCCTCGCCAGCAGGCCCATGGGTCTCAGATCCGTCCTCCACCAACGGGCTCTGCCTCCTCAGAGTCTCCCAAACCCTGTGAACCCCCCAGCACCTTAACGTCCTCTCGTAGCAAAGCACATGCAACACATTCTCAGGTGGCTGGGACGTCAGCAGCACAGAGCAGCACAGTGGGTCATACTTCCAAGGCAGGAACAATTTCACAGCCCTGCAACGTCGCGCAGGATTCCTCAGTGGTAATGCAAGACGCAGACTTGTTAGAAGGACAGGGTCTAACCAAAATGCTGTCTGATCTCACGAAAGAAAGAACAGCTGTGGAAAAACCCTCTTCATTTACTGTTCAGGGAGAACGTTCTGATTTTCCCACGGAAAACTCTAAATCAGCAGAACCAAATGTTGATTTGCCTGAGAAGCAGGACCTCTTGCTAATGAACACAGAAGGTGATCCTCTCCCCCAGAATCACTCCTGCATTTCTGACCAGGAAGTAGTCAATGCTTCCCTTATGGCTAGCAGGCAGGCAGACTCCCCCATGTCAACCAGCTCTGGCAGCAGTCGGGGCTTCTCCGTTGCGTCTATGTTGCCAGATACCACCAGAGAAGACATCACTAGCAGCACCTCAACCGGTACGTGTAACAGCTGCACGTTTTCAGAACAGACTGACATTGTAGCTCTTGCAGCAAGAGCTATTTTTGACCAGGAAAACCTTGAGAAAGGTGGTGGAGGAATACAGGTGAACATGAGGGATGCCATCTCTAAGTCAACTGAGGTTGCACCTTTGGAGAGAGAGCAACAGCCTTTTAAACCTCAACCAGTGAAAGAAAACAACGCAGGGCCATTGGAAGCGGCACCGAGCAAATTCAGTGCTCAAGATACAGTACAGACAAACGTTGATAGGCAGGTTGAAAAGCCAAGCTGCTCTGTGGGAGGCGTGGTAACATCAAACACTTCTTTGCAGATTTCCACTTCCCAGTCGGCAAGCATAACCAGTTTAAGCGTGAATAATCTGATACACCAGAGTCGCATTGTCCATCCCCTTGTGAGTTGCTCCAGTTTATCCCAGTCTTCAGAGCCAGCAAGCGTCCCTGCAACTGTGAGCCTCTCTCTGCCATCTAGCACATACATCAATCAGTCTCCAGGGCCTGCCATGATGAGTGACTACGCTCAAGAACAGCTGAATGCCATTCGGGCAAGCACCATGCAGGCTCCCCAGCTGCAGGAACCACACTTAAAGCAGCAAAATCACGAAGGTCGCAAAGACTCCGCCAAGCGAGCTGTTCAGGACGACCTCCTGCTTTCTACAGCAAAGAGGCAGAAGCAGTGCCAGACAACACCCATAAGGCTCGAAGGGATGGCGTTGATGAACCGGACACCAGAGAGCATTGCTGAGCAAACACAGATGCTCGTCGGTCAGATTCCTCCTAACTCATCCAATTCAGTGGCATCAGTGAGCAATCAAGCACACACTGATGGCCTTAATAGGTTATTCCCACCCAACAGCAACTTTGTAACGCCAGCTTTGAGACAAACTGACGTCCAGTGTGGTTCTCAGCCCTCAATTTCCGAGCAGCAAGGCCAGGCAGGGCAGCACTTGCAGCCGATTCAACATGTTCCTGCTCAAGGCATATCTCACCTTCACAGTAATCATCCATACTTAAAGCAGCAGCAGCAGGCCAGTCAGTTAAGAGAAAGGCACCACTTGTATCAGCTGCAGCACCATGTCACGCACGGGGAAAACTCGGTCCACTCTCAACCCCACAGTGTCCACCAGCAGCGAACAATACAGCAGGAGGTGCAGCTGCAAAAGAAACGAAATCTCATCCAGGGAACACAAGCCACACAACTTTCTCTACAGCAAAAACACCACGGGAGTGATCAAACACGGCAAAAAGGTGGTCAGCCTCATCCACACCACCAGCAAATGCAGCAGCAGATGCAGCAGCACTTTGGAGCTTCCCAGCCTGAAAAGAACTGTGAAAATCCTGCAACAAGCAGAAACCATCATAGCCACCCTCAGAGCCATATAAATCAGGATATTATGCATCAACAGCAACAAGATGTTAGCAGCAGACAGCAAGGTTCAGCTTCTGAACATGTGTCAGGGCACAATCAGATGCAAAGACTGATGACCTCGAGGGGCTTAGAGCAGCAAATGGTGTCCCAGGCAAGTATCGTAACCAGACCATCAGACATGACGTGCACCCCTCACAGGCAGGAAAGAAATAGAGTTTCCAGCTACTCTGCCGAAGCACTGATTGGGAAGACGCCCTCCAATTCAGAACAGAGAATAGGAATATCTCTTCAAGGCCCTAGGGTTTCTGACCAGCTTGAAATGAGGAGCTATCTTGATGTTTCTAGAAATAAAGGGTTGGTGATTCATAATATGCAGGGCCGCTTATCTGTTGACCATACAGTTGGCTCAGATGTGCAGCGGCTTTCTGATTGTCAGACATTTAAACCAGCTGGACCCAGTCAACAACCAGCGGGCAATTTCGATGTACAGGCTTCAAGAAACAGCGAAATCGGTAATTCAGTGTCATCCCTCAGGGGAATGCAGTCGCAAGCATTTCGAATTGGTCAAAATACTGGGCCATCCCTAGAGAGACAGAAGAGATTGCCCTACCAGCCAGTGCAGGGTATTCCAACAGGAAATGCCCTGCCATCGAGGGAAAATGAAAACACGTGCCACCAAAGTTTTATGCAGAGTTTACTTGCCCCTCACCTTGGAGATCAGGTGAGTGGAAGCCAAAGATCCATCCCAGAACATCAAAGGAACACACAGTGCGGCGCCTCCTCCACAATCGAGTACAACTGTCCCCCAGCACGAGAGAGTGTCCACATCCGAAGAGATGGTGATGGCCCAAGTAGGGAGAGCTGTGACATGTCTATTGGTGCAATTAACACAAGGAACAGTTCTTTGAATATTCCTTTTTCGAGTTCCTCTTCCTCGGGAGACATCCAGGGTCGCAATACAAGCCCGAACATCTCTGTGCAGAAGTCCAATCCCATGAGGATGACGGACAGTCATGGAACAAAGAGCCACATGAATACGCCTGTTTCTAGCAACATGCATGGGGTTGTGAGGCCAACTCACCCTCACCCTGCAGTGTCTCACGGAAACAGCGACCAAGGGCAACCTTCTGTTCGTCAGCCAAATTCTTCAGTTACTCAGCGGTCGAGGCATCCTCTGCAAGATAATGGAGGTTCTAAAATACGTCAGCCCGAAAGGAATCGATCTGGAAATCAAAGGCATGGAAACGTCTTCGACCCTAGTCTTCCCCACCTTCCCCTGTCCACCAGTGGCAGTATGATCCTTGGGCGCCAGCAGTCTGCGATAGAGAAAAGAGGAAGCATTGTCCGATTTATGTCTGATGGCCCTCAAGTGTCTAACGATAACACGGCCCCTGACCAACATACCCTTTCTCAGAATTTTGGATTCCCTTTTATTCCGGAGGGTGGCATGAATCCACCGATAAATGCCAACGCCTCTTTCATCCCACCGGTCACTCAGCCCAGTGCCACTCGAACACCGGCTCTAATCCCAGTTGATCCTCAGAATACGCTGCCGTCCTTCTACCCGCCTTACTCGCCTGCCCACCCTACCCTTTCCAACGACATCTCCATCCCATACTTTCCCAATCAAATGTTTCCTAACCCAAGCACGGAGAAGCCGAGTAGTGGAAGTTTAAACAATCGATTTGGATCCATTTTGTCTCCTCCTAGGCCTGTTGGTTTTGCTCAGCCAAGTTTTCCTTTGCTTCCAGATATGCCGCCGATGCACATGACCAACACATCGCACTTATCCAATTTTAACTTAACGTCTTTGTTTCCAGAAATAGCCACAGCTCTTCCTCCAGATGGTTCAGCAATGTCGCCTTTGCTTTCCATTGCAAACACATCTGCTTCAGATTCTTCCAAGCAGTCCTCAAACCGACCTGCCCACAATATAAGCCATATTCTAGGTCACGACTGCAGCTCAGCTGTATGAAAACTGATAGACTGACTTCTCATCTGATGCATTGTTTATATATTTAAGAAGAAGAAAGTGGATCTTGCTGGGCATCCCTGAAGAGACCATTCATAGCATCACTGTTTATTTGCCTAAATGTATGTATATGGGTACTTTTTGTATTTATATACACACTGTATTTCCATCCACCTTACTAACTTTAAAGCACCAGTGCCTATAGCAATGCTTACTTACTTGTAAACAGTAAGGATGCAACATTGAGAGCTGTGCAAATATTGGTTGTTGATTTTCCAACAATCAAGTTTGATGTCTGATTGTTCCAGGGTAAGGGCCACCCTTAGTAATACGTGGATGTAAAGAAAGGAGTGAGAGCATCCGTATGGGAGACAGGAAACAAATGCTACAGGTTTCATTTTGTTTCTGATGTGTTTACCTGAAACTACAGACGAACTTGAAGTGGCTTGGGTTTCTCTTTTTCCTTTGTAAAATATCTTCAGGAGCCTCAACACAAGTCAAGTCTGTGTTAATCCAGCGTTAATTGATAAAGGCATCTGTTGTGCAGCTTTTGTCTGTTTGAAGCTTGTCACATGCACTTGAATTAAGGCTGACTTTACCTGGCAAAAAATTACTGTGTTTCCGTGGTCAGCAATTAAAAACACTGGTTTCGAAAATTCAGATTTCTTTAAGCCATGACTTTCTGTTTCTAAGAAGAGTTTTGTTTGGATCTGTTTTAACAGTTACTCCTGAACTTGGTCAGTGTTTTAATGTAGCTTACGACTCCTTCTGGTGTAGTCAGCAGAGACAGCAGGCATATTTGTTGCCATTTCATTGTTCATATGCTGCAAGTTGCCTCAGGATGGGTTTTGTACCTTGTTTAGCACCTTCTTAATGTCCTTCCCCCCCCCCCCCCGCCCATGCTCAAACACCAGCTTTCTGGTTTCTGTGAGTGACAGCCCTTTGTTGTACCAGGCCAGCACGTGGGAGGAGAATGGAGCCTGTGTCATCCTGCAAAATGAGCAGGGATCCCTGGGGGTGCAGCTCTTGCTTAACACGGCTGACCGTATCGGCCTGAGTTAATATCAGTATTCTGCACTCGAATGCACCTTTTGTCTAAATGCATGTGATTGTGGCTGAAGGAGGAACGTGAATGTGTCAGGACTGGAACACATACCAGGAAGGAGTCGTCATGATGGAAGGGGGGGTGCGTTTCTGTGTGCGTGAGAGATAGTGCGAATGTGTGTGTCCTGGCTGAGTCTCCAGTAATTTCCCAAATTTCAGTCCCATTTCTTTCAAAGGAAAGGGGAGAACTGGGTAAGTTTTATTTATTTAATGGATCTGCAGCCTGCTTTTTCTTCAGACAAGGCAGAAATATATGTCTTTTCTTCTTATGTGCTTGGAAATACCATTCTGGTTTTGATTCTTCAAATAACAAATTAACTTCAGGTTTCCCTTGTCCTCCTTCTACCAGCCAGGGAGTGACAAAAACTGCTCCGAGGCCTCTTCTGCTGCTTCTGGGACCTGTCACAGGTTCTTTGCCAATGTCTCTGTTAGCAGGGGGCTAGGGGGGAACAGGCTCCCTGGGATTTTTTTAGGGATTGTTTTTTTCTTTGAGAAGTAAAAAGGAAGATAAACCCTCCATCTCCAAGAATGGGATCCACAGAGAGGGACCTGAAAGTTTTTTCATTTTTGCTAAGTCCTTTTACACTAATCCAGAAAGGTAAAGAAGCTTTGGCAAAAAAAAAAAAAAAAAATTGGACTGTGTCTGTAGTTCATGCTGACAGCGTTTCCACTCTTGGAACCTGGGGTCTGACGTTTTTCTGCAAAGTGAAGTACAATGGTTCTGATTCAAACTGACACTTTTTAATTCAGATGGAGATTATTTTAGGAAACTAAGTGGTGCATCAGTTCTCTGTGCTTATTAAAAATAATAGATTGAATATTTATTTCACTTCAAAACAAGGCAGCTTGTCCGAGTTTGACTGTGAAATGGGCTGCCAAAGTGTAGTTACCAACCAAATGGCAGCAACTGGCCTGTGCAGAGCAGGAGAGTTAGGAATGACGGTCAGGCCGCGACTCTGACCAGCACTGCAGGCCTGGCTGTTCTCTGATGAAAGAGACACCAGATCAGACTGATTTCCCTAACTCAGTAGATCCCAAAGGAGCTACTGCCTCAGGTGATGAAATGAGTGCCCTAACGATGAGCATTTCCATGGGTTCTGGATGACATAAGACAGGGGTGTTGAAGCAGCAGCTACGCTGTGCATTACATATTCATCTGGACCTTGAGGAGGGAAGCAAAACAGCCCTTCTCACTCTTTAAATGGAATTGTGTGTGCAATGGTGTATTTGGCTTTCAAGACCAAGCAGTGAAAAATTAAGCCCTGTCTTCCAGGACTTTAGATACTAATCCTGCTCGTCATTCAAGGCATTCACCTAGTGAAACTAAAGCCTGTTTCTTTTGCTACACTACTTCATGGTGTCTTTGAAAACTGGAGTGAGGTTGTAAACTTACACAGAGCAGCTGCAAGAGCTGAATGTTCACAGGTTGATGGGGCCAGATGGGATTCAGCCAGAGTACTGAAGGAGCTGGCAGGTGTTATGGCAGGATCCCTCTCAACCATCCTGACAGTCTGGGGAGGTCACTGCTGACTGGAAGGAATAATGTGGGAATAACAAGGGTGTGAGGGAAGACCCAGGGAACTACAGGCCTGCTAGTCCAACCTCAGTTCGTGGAAAGACTGTGGAGAAGATTATACTGGGTGCTATTGGAAGGCATTTCATCAATCATCGGGCGCAGTCAACATGGGTTCACAAAGGGGAAGTCCTGTTGAACTAATCTGATATCCTTCTATGATAAGGTCCCAAGAAAGGCAGTGGATGAAGTTTTTCTGGATTTTAGTAAGGCTTTTGATACAGTCCCTCATAACATACTTCCTGACAAGTTGTCCAGCTGTGGGGTGAGTGGGTTCATGGTGCGCTGGGTGAGGAACTGGCAGAAGGGCAGAGCCCAGAGGGTTGTAGTGAATGGGGCCACATCTGGCTGGCAACCGGTCACCAGGTGTGTTCCTCAGGGCCAGTTCTGTTCCGTATAATTCCCAGTGATCTGGAGGCAGGAGCTGAATGCACTGTTGGCCAGTTTGCTGATGATGCTATATCTGATATTGACGCTTTTGAGGGACAAGATGCCTTGCAGAGGGCTCTAGATAGATTGGAGCACTGGGCTGTGGTTAATGGGATGAATTTCACAAGAACAAATGCCGGATTGGGCACGTGGGAGGAGTAACGCCGGGCACAAGTGTAAACTGGGAGAGGAGTGGCTGGAGAGCAGCCCTGCAGAAAGGGGTCTGGGGGTGTGGGCCGGCAGCAGGCTCAGTGTGGGTCAGCAGCCTGCCCTGGCAGCCCAGAGGGCAACCCGCATCCCGGGGGCATCAAACACGGCACGGCCAGCCGGGCAAAAGAGGCGACTGTCCCGCTGTACTCGCCGTCGGCCTCTCCTGCGGTGCTGGGTGCAGCGCTGGGCCCCACAACTGAAGAAGGATGTGAAGGTCCTCGAACGCGTCCAGAGGAGGGCAACCAAGCTGGTGTAAGGGCTGGAAGGAATGTCCTGTGAGGAGTGGCGGAGGGCTTTGGACTTGTCTAGTGTGGAGAGCAGGAGGCTGAGGGGCGACCTCATTGCTCTCTGCAGCTTCCTGGGGAGAGGTGGAGAGGGAGGTGCTGAGCTCTTCTCCCTGGGATCCAGCGACAGGACACGTGGGAATGGCTCAAAGCTGCACCAGGGGAGGTTTAGACTGGACATTAGGCAGCATTTCTTTACGCAGAGGGTGGTCAGAGACTGGAGCAGGCTTCCTGGAGAGGTGGTCGATGCCCCAAGCCTGTCAGTGTTTGAGAGGCATTTGTACAATGCCTTCAATGATATGCTTTAACTTGGTCAGCCCTGAAGTGGTCAGGCAGTTGGACTAGATGATCATTGTAGATCCCTTCCAATTGAAATAGTCTATTCTACTCCTATTCATTTATTTTTTTCATATTAATTTCACTGATGTTATATTGAGGTTAAATGCAATCCTGAGTGTTCACAAAAGAGTATGTCAGTTGTGATTTTAGGTGTGTGTTTGTTGGGTTTTTTTTAATGTTGTACAGCATTTTCTGAAGAGACGGTAGCTGTGTCAGTATCTTTCATGTACCCCCTTTTCTGTTTACGGAGATGATCAAAACTAGCAACTGGTTTCACAGGGTACCTGTAACACAGGTAATCACAACACAGGCATATTAGTGATACAGAGACTGCTGCAATTTTGTAGGAGCTGCACAGTTTTTGTGGTGTGTGACTCAAAAGTGATTACCATGCGACCCAAGTCTTCTCTAGAAGAAGATTGTACCTGGCATTCTTGTGACAGGGCTTTTGTTGTCCTTCTCAGGACATTTTCTGAAACCTGCCGCAACCAGAATGGAGAAATATAATTTCATTACTCTCCTTGAACGTGGCAATTTTTGTTGGAAGTTCAACCACATACCACTGCGAATCTTTTTATGTGCCATAAATGATCCTGTGGCATTGGTGTGGGATCAGGAAGACTGCTATGAAAAGAAAGGGAGGCAGACCTATCTGCGAGAGCTTCATAGACATGTATTTGTCCAACTGCTATTATTTACTCCCGAATTCCATCATTTACACTGCTGGCTTTTAGATCAATTTAATTACAGAAAAAAATGGCTCTATTGTGCAGTCTTTGGTCTAAATGACTGTCCAAGATGGTGTTTGAATGCTGAATCTGGCCAAGATTTAAGAGCAGCTTGTGGGTTTGCCACAGATTTCAGCTTCTCACATGTCTGTGCTCATATGCCTTTAGGAAGAACAGTGAATGGACCAGGTATTTCACATTAAAGAAAGGAAATCAGATGTTAAGTAATTTTTTTTTAGTTTCTAATTACAAAATTGTTTTGGTTTTCCTCTTCACTGCAAACTAATCACCCCTGCTGCTCCACACTGACCAGGCTTCTTGTGTTTAGTTTTGTAGGTCAGTTTGTGCCACTGACAGGTCAGTGTCTCAGCTTCCGACCGCTGGCCCTTCCCAGGGCTTTGGGCTCTGCTGTCAGGATCAGGCGCAACTGCAACATCTTTGCCACTGAGTGGAAACTATTCTTTCTTCTTTTAATTTTTCTCCCCCCTACCATTGAAGCTGTGTGTCTAGCTATCAGGTCAGTGGTAAGGAAGGCTCACTTTTATCTCCATCTGTGCTTGGGGCAGGGTGGGGGGAGTTTGAAAAAGGAGCTTCTGTAAGTTTTGCAGATTAAATCATTCTGTTTCACTTGTTATAATTTGACAAGCGAATACATTTTCTTCAGCAAACATCTATGACACCAACAATTTAACTTTTTCTCCCAAGAATTACCTGTCAATTAAGAGTTCTTTTGTTTCTCAAGCTATATTTGGAAAAGATTTTGTGGTGTTAATTGCAATTTGTTAGCCCCAAAATGGCATTTTCTCTTCCATAATAACTTTTTGAAGTTTACTTACATTCAGCAGAGGTTGGTTTGGCTTTGAAGAAAGGAAAAATACCCAGTACTGCTTAATTTAACAAAATAAACAGCAGAAAGGAAAGGTTCAGCACTACCTCTTGGGTGGGACTGCCACAGCTGACAGATGTTGGATGGCTGTGGCTTTCAGCTTGGCCTAAATGACCTCAACAAATAGCAAATGGTGTCAGGCTGGAGTGCATGTGTGTCAGTGTAGTCCTTGATTAATCCCTTAAGAAGCTGAGGAGAATAAGAGCAGAGTCAGACTAAATTGAAAGCAGGCAACAGAACAGTAATGTATTAACATTTACGTACCTTTTCATTGAGGGAAGGGACCTCCTTTAAGAACAGCTAAAGGAAATGGAGAACTGAGCTGACTTGAGCCCATGGCTGAACCTTACTGGCACATGTTTTCTAGCTCCCACTCCCAGCTGCAGTCACTACACTGCTGCCCAGGTGGAAAAGCACCACTTTGAAAAAAAAAAAAAACAAATCAAAATGCTATACTAGCACAGAGCCTCCTGAATTTTGCACAGATTCCCTACTGCACTTTAAAGGCCACGCTGCTGCTGCTGTGGTGGTGACTGTAAGTGCTGTTGCAGGAAAATCATGTGGCGGGGCGAGCGCAGAGGGTATGGCTGGAGAAAAGAGGTCATTTCATTATTTCTTATCTCCTGTTGTCACCTTATTCAGTGGTACTTGTGCAGCCCTCACTCAAGGACTTGGTCACAAACTCACACTGTTTCTGGATGACTGAGTGTGGTCAGCTGTGCTAAGAGCTATGATCTTTTGCTGTTCCCCAGGTTCATGCTCATCACTTTAACAACGATCTCCCTTTGACTGGAAAGGCAGAGTAGCATTGTATCTACTTATAGCAAATTGGTCAAATTTGTGTTGTTTTCTGATCCAGTGATGCAAGGAGCTCCATTCTTTACCATCACCTAACCCAAGTTATCTGCTGCTGCTGTTTCCTTCTCCTGCTGCCACTCATCCCACACAGGTGGACAGGAGTGCCAGTGCAGATGCAGGTTTGCGTGTGAGGGTGTTTCTAACCTATCACCTCCACACTCCTTCGAGTACCTCTAAAACCTCAGAGCACCAACACTTTATTCCCACTAGTTACACTAAGATCCAGTTACTTTGCCAACCAATGAAAGATTTAGCAGAGGTTTTTGGTCATGACAATACAAAACCATCTTCTCTCTGCAAACAAGCCCTGCACAGTTACACAGAAGCCATTTATTATTTGCTGATACCCATTTTTATGAGAATTTTTTTTTAAAAAAAAAAAAAAGGGCATTTCTTTCTGCCTCACCAAAAGTATTTTTACAAGTAGGTTCCAAGTTTGCAATACGCACTGCTGTTTCCACAATCACAAATGTGACATAACCAAGTTCACCATGGGTTGTACCCCTGTTCCTGCCCGCTCACTGTAAGAAGGGAAGCAACTATGGATTTTGCCACAGGAGATTAATCAAAGATGCTGTTGCCCTCCATGATGTAAATTATTTATATTCAGTCCAGAGTTTTATGCTGTGCTTCTGTTTTATACAGCTGTAAATTACTTGGATACAGCCCCCATGGAAAGTCCTTATTATTTTGTAATGGAAAAAAGGAACTCTGCAGTAGAAATCTATAATGAATGAACAGGAACATCATCTTCCAATTGTAAATAAGATCTTGTTCTGTTTATTTTGACATCTTTTTACAAATGTGTTGCATTCAGGTGTAAATATCCCAAACCATGATCTTGTTCAAAGTTCCAAGATTTCTATTGTTAAATGTAATACTTTAATAGTTGTAATAATTATTTGTATAGATATGAACATGATAGTATTTTATTAAAAAAAAAGAAAAATTTTTTTGAATACAGTATTCTTGTTGGTATAGCTTCTTTCCCACCGGAAGCCATGCATTTCACTCTTCAAGATAGGTTAAAATAAAAGCTTTAAGACTGTAATTGTAAATTCCCAGTTTTCTACTGATGTATATTTTCCACATATACCAGAGTTATGCACCACTTAATCTGGATATCTAAAACTACATAATCCAGAAGAAACATATAAGGCAATGTCTAAATAATGCAAGGCCAGTGCTGTTCCTGCCCAGGTGAAGATACAATTTCAGCTTTGTAAAATGCTTCTCATCATGCACCACCACAATGATTGTGAGGTGCTCTAAGATGTCACAGTTTGAATCTAAAGGATGTGGTTTGGACGAGACTGGTGCAGAGATGCTACAAGGTAAGTAAAGGCTTTTGGGGAGGCTGCATATTGCAGGAGGTGGCAGAATTGCTGTCAAACACTTCCTTCAGGGGGCTCCAGGCTGCTTTGCTTGTAAACCTCAAAATTCTGGATGTGAAAGATGGAATGTGTTTTGGTTTGTTTTTTTTTAAATTAAAATTTAGTATTAAGAGATTAGCTTCTGTTTTGTTACTTTAGGGACAGCCAATATCTGTAGCTCAAGGGCAGCAAGGTCTCATGGGTCAGCCCTCCAGACTGAAAGCTGCTGGGGGCCCTGTTACAGAAGCTCTCAAATAAACAAGTAACAACCAAAAATTTAAAAATTAACACAATTAACCCTCTGCAAGCTACAGGTTCAAAAGTCTGTGAGAGAACAGAAAAACTTCCTCGGGTTTAACAACCCAAAATGTAGAACACAGAACTCCGTAGGGCTGAACGACAACCCAAAATGCTATCACTCACCTAACAAATGAGGACTCTCAACCTTGGGGACCTGCTCAGGGCAGTGTCCTGACCCAAGTCACCTTGAGGAATTTCCTTGGGCGGCATCCCAACTCAAGGGGAGAGGCCTCGATGAGCACCGAATGGCTGCCCCAGGGAACTCCATCTATTCATGGGCCAAATCTGATCTGTAGTGTATAGCAGCTCCCATTGGCCAAAGGCCCAACTACCGTGAAGCCCTGAGAGCAAAGGCAATCCGTAGCAGCTACACTTTAGCAGCCAAGAAGCCCTGTTTTCATTAGGCAGGTTCATCTGCCACAAGGCCCTCAGCTGGCTGCGCTCATACAAGGTGGCTCATGCAGCCCCATGCACCTAAGCACGAGGGAATCCCCCCACAAAAGCACAAGTGAAACTGTCTTAAAGCGTTTCTTCCCCCACCTTAAGCTAGAGGTGGTGCATAGCCAGGGGCAGCACACCTCTGTCTCAAATACACCCTGTTCATGGCATGGATAAACTGACTATCTCCCCGTTTCTGTCATTGCCAATTCTCCCCCCTTCTCAAAGACCCTTTTGCTCAGTGTAGATGTGGCTGTTTAAATAGGCAGAAAATCTCCATTTAGCTGCGGAGAAGTTAACATTTTTCTTACTGTTTTCAGAATGCAGCATACTCCCCCTGTCTGGGCTGCTACCAGAGGTTTTGCTGGTAGTTGTAACACTGTCAGGTCGCATGATCCTAATAGTTTCCCTAAACTCTGAAGGGGGGGTTGTTTATTATTATAGAAAAGCTTGAGTTGTTGCAGGCAGAACAGCACTTTACCAACAAGTATATGATTGTGTCCACCTCTGTGGCTTAGGTCACCACAGCTGTAGAAGAGGGGAGACAGCCCGAGGTGCTCGGGAGCTGTGTGAAGAGCAGAACAGAGGCAGGAGACAGGTCACATTGCTACAGGGGAGGTAGAGCAGAGCCCTCTTGGCAGCAGCTTTCTGGCCACGCACCACACAAACACACCTGACCCCACCACAGCACTGCACTGGCTTTTACTCGGGAAAGTGTTAGAGGCCTGAGGAAGACACTGCAGGAGGTGTAACACAAAAAGTACACAAAGCTGAGTGTTAGTAGCTCTTTTGCTTATAAAAGCAGCAAACATATCTCATGACTTGGCAATTAAGCCTGAGTATTTAATGGCCAACTGCAGACAGCTTAGGGCAGGCGTTCCTGGGCAGGTACAGCTTCCACAGCATATGGAGAGATACTCGCAGTTGCCATTTCCAGCCAGGCCAGCTCCTGCTTCCTCCAAGCTGCTCAGCCCCCACAGCGAGCTGCTTAAACTCACTGAGAAGGGAATTCTCCAGAAAACTGAACTGTTCGCTTCCCTTTCAAGTGTTGTTACAGCACTTTGTGCTGAGCATAGGAGGGATGAGCACATGATGGGGGAAGCGGGGTCCCTGCTACTGGCCCATGGACAGCAGAAAGGCCCCCACCTCCTAACACAACTCACACCAGCTCTGCTCTTCTCCCTACATACCTCCGACTAATGCTGTTTCAGAGGAAGGTAAAACAATCAAGTGACACCTGCAAGTTGGGGAACAGAGGTTTACCCCAGGGAGCTGTTCTTCCTTCCCCAAGGGCAGTCACCTGGAGAAAGGGCAGCGGGACTAAAGTCACAGGCTGCATTTTGGGTGGAGTGCTGCACAGCCGAGCTTGACCAGGACAGCTGGGAGACAGAGCTGGGGTGCCCAGCCAGACACCTCCACCAGCCAGAGCCACCAAGGCAGCCACCAGCTGGGAGAACTGAAGTACAAAGAGAAGCCAGCAGGCAGGAGGATATTTTAAAAAACTGATACATCAAGCTAGAGGCACAGAAGCAGCAGGGAGGTGATTCCAACGCTTCCTCCCATCTCTTAGGCTTGAGGTGCCTTGGATTTAATTGAAATTTTTTTTTTTTTTTTTTTTTTTGCTTGTTCTGCACTGTTCTCCGCTCTTCTCCAACCTCTCTCCCTCACTGCTACCACCTTGCCATTTGCATACTGTGCTCATCTCTGCTTAACTCAGCAAGCCCATATGTTGCTCTTCTACCTCCTACATCTAGACTTCCAACTGCTGTTCAACATTAGTTTTTCTCTCCCATTCCTATTTAGAGAAGATAACCATCTTCCTGGCTCGAAACAAATACAAGCTTGGTACAAGGTCTGAGACTACAGACTATGGAAGACACAGGCAGAAGGAGTATCTTTTATAAAAATGTGTGTCCAAAACTGGACAATTTGGGGTACAAAAGCCCTTCTTCAGTCTGGCAATGAAGCAATATCCCTACTACTCCAACAACTTGTCCTGTGTTCTTGACTTCCGTGCACTACAAAATACACCAAGAGCAGAACATACCTGTTCAAGAGAAAAAGCTGTTCATTTTTCTCCACTCGTAAACACAGGGTACAAGCAGACCTGCAAGGCAAGAGCCCATCCTGCACATGACTACGCAGGGCCTTAAAGGCTGCAGAGTGTGCAAAGAGGACTTCAGGTTACACTTGCAAGCAGCAGGATCCAACACCAGATCCTCTAAGTCTCACCCCTTGCAGATACCTGCTTGTACACCAGTTCTGGTGATCTGCCAAAATCAACAGGTTTTTGAACTAGTGTCCCTCTTCTCCCTATCTCTTTGGCTCAAAGGGACTGAGTGAGGCAGCATTTGCACTGGAATCTCTGACCAGACTCACTCACATCATATCAAAATATTCAGTGGGCTCTGGAGTGCTTTACATGGTACAACTGCAGCTGTAAGGTGTGATGGCAGAAAGGACTCTAGAGAAAAGATTAAAGGCTAAGTTCCTACAGGAGGCATCAGCAGGGCAGGGTCTCCAGTTCAAGCACATTTAACCACTCCAGGATAGCCTCCCACCTCAGACAAGATCTCCACATCTTCCTGCAGGTCTCAGAGCAGCAAGGCAAGCTTTGCCTCAAGTAGCCTCTTCTTTTGGTTTAAGCTTTCCATGGGAGTCAGTGTTCAACCTGCTGGTGCTGGCAGGCTGTGTTACAGAATCACAGAATCACCTTGGTTGGAAAAGACCTTGAAGATCCTCCAGTCCAACCATGAACCTCACCCTGACCGTTCCCAGTTCCACCAGATCCCTCAGCGCTGGGTCAATCCAACTCTTCAACCCCTCCAGGGATGGGGACTCACCCCCTGCCCTGGGCAGCCCATTCCAACGCCCAACAACCCCTTCTGCAAAGAAATACTTCCTCAGAGCCAGTCTGACCCTGCCCTGGCACAGCTTAAGGCCATTCCCTCTTGTCCTGGTGCTTGTTCCTTGGTTCAAGAGACTCATCCCCCCTCTCTGCACCCTCCTTTCAGGGAGCTGTAGAGGGCCATGAGGTCTCCCCTCAGCCTCCTCTTCTCCAGACTAAACCCCCCCAGTTCCCTCAGCCGCTCCCCATCAGACCTGTGCTCCAGACCCTGCACCAGCTCCGTTGCCCTTCTCTGGACACGCTCGAGTCATTCAATGGCCTTTTTGGGGTGAGGGGCCCAAAACTGAACCCAGGAATCGAGGTGTGACCTCAGCAGTGCCGAGTACAGGGGTCAGATCCCTTCCCTGTCCCTGCTGGCCACGCTATTGCTGACACAAGCCAGGATGCCATTGGCCTTCTTGGCCACCTGGGCACACTGCTGGCTCCTGTTCAGCCGGCTGTCAATCAACCCCCCCCCCAGGTCCCTCTCTGACTGGCAGCTCTCCAGCCACTCCTCCCCAAGCCTGTAGCACTGCTGGGGGTTGTTGTCACCCAAGAGCAGCCCCCGGCATTTGCCCTTATAGAAACTCCTCCAGTTGGGCTCAGCCCATGGCTCCAGCCTGCCCAGGTCTCTCTGCAGAGCCTCCCTACCCTCCAGCAGATCAACACTCCCACCCAACTGGGTGTCATCTGCAAACTGACTGAGGGTGCACTCAATCCCCTTGTCTAGATCATCAATAAAGACGTTAAACAGGAGTGGCCCCAACACCCAGCCCTGGGGGACACCACTCGTGACCGGCCGCCAGCTGGATTTAACTCTGTTCACCACAACTCTCTGGGCCCGGCCATCCAGACAGTTTTTACCCAGCAAAGCGTGTGCCCATCCAAGCCACAATCAGCCAGTTTTGCCAGGAGAATGCTGTGGGAAACGGTGTCAAAGGCCTTACTAAAGTCAAGGCAGACAACATCCACAGCCTTTCCCTCAAACCCCCACATGGCCCCAGCACCCAGGGATTTATCCTGCCCACCACAGCACTGCTGTCTGGCAGGCCCCTCCCCACATAAAGCCTTGTAACCCACCCTGCACACACAGGGCTCGACCTGAACTTTTCCAGGCGTTTGTTAGAGCAAGAAACTGTTCCTGCAAGGCCTGTGGTGAGGACTCCATGAGAAAATTTTCTCACCTTCTTCCACTGCTACTGCCCCTGGTCCTGGCCGCAAATCACCTCACTTGCTCCCCAGCTCACCACAGCAGCAAATGATGTAACTGTCACACAAGCACCTCATGTTCCAACAGATCTACCGCTGCAGCTCTTCATGCAGCTTCCAGGTGGCACCACACAACCAGGCCTCAGACCTCTGCTCCTGCTGCTGGGCTGGGACCAGAGAGGCAGAGAGAAGGGAGGGAATGGATGGTGCTGGCAGCAGGGCTATCACTGCGTATTACCGCCTTCCCTCCAAGTAGGGCTCCGAAAAGCACCTCAGATATTATCACAACAAATTTTGGTTTCACTAATCAGAGAACTGGAAGTGCAGCGCTCAGGCTCCTACAGCAGCCCTTCCATTTGCAGGGAGGGGAACAGGACAGCACAGAGCGCATGTTGCAAAAAAGCTGCCAGGTCAAACATCTGTACACCTCCGAATAGAGAAACCCAGATGGCTCTGTCTGCACAGCACACTCATAACCATGCTGGGCAAGACAGAGTGCCACAGCCTCACCAGGAGTCCCTAATGTGGGGTGGCTCAGCCTTGCTGCACTCAGCAATAAGGATTTGGGGTTTCTTTTGTGCCCCAGACTTCCTGGCAGTCTTTTCTTACGGGAAGAAAAAGGAAGCTACGGGCAAGCCTATGTAGCTAATATTGGATTCTGCCATTTTAGACACACCAAGAACATATGGCAAGACTGCAGCGTGGCTGAATGGAAAACATGGACTATCCTCAGCTTGATACCCCTCTGCTGGTGCGTCTCAGAAAAAAGCAAGTGTCATCTCCTTCCCTGCCGCCTGTGCTGTCACTATTAAGAGAAGCTCGTGCTTTGCCACAAGCCTGAGAAACCAACCCCTATTTCAAACATGAAACATTCACACCTCCATTTGCGTGATAAACCTGCAAGTCAAGCCCAAAGCACTGTAATACAACACAGCACACAGGGACCACCACTACCTTCTGCATGTTCTGGCAGCTGAAATGCAGCTACATCACTGAAGCTGGGCAGCTTTGATCAGGAAGATTAACAGCCAGCAGCCTCATGTCATTCCTCCTCTGGCCCTCTCCTCACTCTGCTGAAGGGGCTACAGGGACAAGCAAGAGCGTCTGTTCTTTATTTAGCCTCACAAAGGCAATTTGATTAAGAAAACAAGCAGGTCATCTGCACCTATGCTTAAGGAAACTTTTCAAGGGTCCTAAGGATGACAGCAGCTGTGTGACACCACTGGGCACCCCTCTGACCCAAGTGTTCTCTTTGCTGCTCCTGAGAACTGAAGCAGAAGGAATTCAGATCAACCTGCAGAGCAGGGAACCAAAAACATTCATTTTATTGACTGTCTCAACAAACTCCAACTTAGGAAAAAAAAAAAAAAAAAAAATCAACTAGTGCAAAACCTGTCTGGGAGATACAGACTTCTCCGTGTGGAAAACTACCATAGTCTTCTGCTTTGGTAAGCACAAGGGGAATGGAGCCTTTGCATCACTGCATGCATGCACATACACCAAAGGAAAAATGCTCAGACAATGGCAAGAATAAGGACAGCAGGCCTCAAAGAATACTTTTTAATTCAGAATTAGCAAAACAGGTCACATTTTAGATGCAAGGCCTGAATTAATTCACACCTTATTCTTGTTTTTAAATTACTAAGAATTCAGGAAGAATGCAGAAGCCATTTAAAAAAAAAAAAAACAAACAAACTTATTTCAGACGCAGAGAAGTTGGAGAGGAAAGAAGTTTGGTCCAGATCTTTAGCTAGAGAGCTCGACCCCAGCTGCCCCAAAATCTCCTCCACACTCCCAGCCTGTAAGGGAACCTGTGCTTTGACAAGTCTGCCCAAGTCAAGCTTGTGGGAGGAGAAAAGTCTGAGGCCACCAAACAGCCTCTCTGTTCCACCTTGCCCCTCGGCAAGGCCACGCTGCAGGAGCCAAGGAGCTGCCCAGCGTGTAAATCTGCAGCTTCACCACACCATCTCTCTTAGGGTGGCTTGAGGACAGTACTCGTGGTGCTGTGAAGGAGACCATCACACTGACAAGTGCCTGCGTAGGGGCTGCCAGAGAGAAGTGAGGCTGTTCAATGTGAGTGGGAGAGGCTGCAAGAGCAAGGCGGGAAGTTCTGTCTCTGGCAGAGCGCTCTGGCAGCTCTGCTCCACCATCTCCCTCCAATGCTGCAGTCTCTTGTTACTGTGGCTCCTCACCAGCTGTAGGAGGAGCCTCTCCAACAACAACAAAAAAACCCAAAGAAAACAGTCCTCCAATACCACCTCAGCTTGGAGTCCTTTGCTCCCTTGGTGACTGCAGGACAGGAACCCAACACTCTCCCCGTGCTGCCGAAGGGACTCTCCGAGGGCAGCAGCCCCCAGGATACAGACATTGGCTGCTAATGCAGGAGAAGCTGCATTGTACATGTCAAGCCCACTCACCGGAGAGGAAATGGAGCACATCAGCAGAGAGGAAGGGAAGAAAAGGTCCCAAACACCCCTTACGTTTTCTCCCTCTTCACTGGCTCCAGCACCCGCTGCACCTACAAGCCAGAGGGCTGTGCGCCGGCCTCAGCGCTGGGTCATATCTGCCCCCAGAGGATGCAGTGGGAAAGGACCAAATGTCATCTTCCCTCCCGGTCCCACCCTCAGTTACCACAGCACTGCTTCGTGCTTGCTGTGGGACCCCTGCTCCCACGGGGTTGTCAGCCACAGAAGCAGACTCATTCCCCACAGATGCCGGTGACCCAGTGTCTTTGGCTGAGCAGTTTGGGACGTCCCTGCGCCCCCATCCCCTGGGGACTCAGAACACTGGGATCTTGTCCCTGCGCACCGTGTCCAGGTCATCATCCAGGGTCAGCAGGACCTGAGGAGAAAAGCACGAGGCAGCTTCAGGTCTCACTGGCCAGCCCACAGCTAGGGAGAACTACCAGCTCCCGATGGTGCAGGGAGCAACAAGACAAAGGAAAAAAGCCTGATCCCACTGACAAGGAGCATCCCACTGTGAAGGATGGCTGGAGATAGACCCAAGCAGAGGAGCTGGGGCACTTCTGTGGGGTCCTGGGGCAGCCACAGCTCCATGCAGATAAAGAGGGACAGGGAGGAATAGGAGAGGGCAAGGCCACATAGCAGAGTGGGAGACTCGGCAAGACTCACTCACCAGAAAGGAGAAGAACAAGGCAGCTGCAGAGAGGAAGTGCCAGACATCATGGTCATCGAAGAAGCCCAGCAGGATGCATGGCCTGTTCTTCTCCCGGGACTCTGCTGGAGTCTCCTATGGGAGCGGGCAGGGGGTCAGGACCCAGTATCCACTCACACAGGGCCCTTGCTGGCCTTGTTAGACCCTCTGGAGATTGCCCTCTCTTAACCCTCCACACAGGAGCCAGTAAAAGGCACTGTGCCGGCCAGCCTTGCGGTGAGAGAGTAGGGCAGGAAAGCAGTGTCATACTTAAGCCTAGGGATGGATCTGGGGCCACAACCTGCAGCTGGAGGGAGGGAACCTCCTGGTCTCCACAGCATAGCACAAGCTGCACAGCCTCCACCAGACCACCCTGCCACCAGCCCCTCACTCCCATGGAGACAAACACAGTATCTTGTCAGAAGGCATCCAGTCAGGATTTAAGAGCCTCCCAAGGCCATGGAGAGCCCCCCCACAACCCCAGGCAGGTTATTTCCCATTGGCCATCTGCTTGAGGGAGAAGCCTTCCATCCAGCACTGGTCAGGATTTTCCCCAGTTTTGCTTTCAGATCTCCAGCTCCTCCTCTGTCTCCTGGTGAGAATCAGCCACCTCTGGATGACCTGGATGATAAATAGTCTCTCCACAGATACATGCATACAGTCATTTTTGGCTCAGCACAGCTTCCCAGGCTCCCTTCCCAGTCTGCTGAAGGAGTTAAAGTCTTTCAGTTCTCCATGAGCAGCCCAAGACTCTTCCCAGGAGTGTTTTTTGTGTAAAATGAACAACAGGAAGGGAAGATGACTAGAGAGGGAGATGGACAGAAACACAGTGAAAGAGGAACTTTACCTCCCAGCTGCTGAGGGTCTGGAAGAAGAAGTAGAGGGCAGCTGCCCACACCACTGCCGTGGCCACGATGCAGAACAGAGGGATGGGCAGGAGCTTCTCAGAGCTGCGGAGCTGTAGACAGGGAAATAGTTTCACAACGTGCCCCGAGTGTATAGGGCTGACACACTAGCCTGGACCATCTGCATCAGCAAAGGGCTGCCTGCCCTAGGGAGACACAGCGCAGCCACCCCTGAGATGGCTATGCAGCATCCCTCCCCAACACCAACACCTTGTCCCACCCTGACCCCCACAAAGGCCCCTCTACATCTGTCAGCAGCCAAAAGAGAGGCCCATCCTGTCCCATTTGGAGACACACACCACAGGGACAGCTACAGTTGCCTTCTTTACCTTCATGATGATGTAGAAAGCCAGGTACAGCAACAGGTTACAGATAAAGATTCCCAGTATGTAGGATGCGAAGTCTCTGGGCCGATACAGCAGTCCAAAGATAGCACTGAAGGAGGGGGAAGAAGGGACATTAGACATCCCCTTTCACTGGGGACAGGGTACATCCCCAAATTGACTGCCATCCGCTGCTCCCCCCAGACCACAGGACCCAGCAGCACTGCCACAGCCTTCCAGTTCCCTGGAGGAAATGTACGGTTTGCCTCTGCTCCCTGCTGAGAAGCAAAACAGAGCAAACTCAGCCACGGTCAGCTGCTGAGAGCAACCAGAGACCGTAGAGGACAGGCAGGGGCCCTGGGTTGCTTCCGACCCACAGCCAAATGAATCTCACTCAAGAGGAGCCAGCAGCATATCTGTATGTTCAGCAGAAGGTATGTCCCCAAGAAACAGCTTTAGTGAAAAGCAAGAGCTTAGGGCAATGACCTGAGGTCTCATCCAAGAGCAGATTCTCTCCATTCACACAGCTACTGCTGAGACAGGCTCCATGACTGTGACTAATGAGCATCTACCAAGTCTCCTGCACCTTGGCCGTGCCAGACAGCTCCCAGCTACATGAGAAACACATGTACAGCACAATGCAGCACTGCAGCACCAGGCCAGCCCTATGTAAGCTCACCCAGGCATGAGCCATGAGACTGCACCAGCTGAAAGGCTTCAGGGTGCCTCACATAGTTCTGTAGTGCTGCACGGCATCCTAGGGATCTACCATCAGCGCCCAGCTGATCCAGGTCCTCACCAAAATGCATCAGAAAGGCTCCAGCACAGGATTATTGCAGAGGCTGCTGCATTTCCCCACCATTTCTGGCCACTTGTGTGTCAGTACTCACTGCCCACATGTGCAAGTACACAAGATGCCAACACCCCACTACTTACAAGGACCAGTTGACCAGGTTTCCAACAATGAGCAGCACCATCCTGTCCTGAGGAAGAGACACCAATGGTCATATGAAAGCAGAAGAAAATGCAAGAAGAGGCCTCTGCCTCAAATTCAGGATACCACTAGGTGAAGATTTGGAGTCTGGTTCCTGAAAACACACATGCTCTGAAGTTTGCTCTGGGGGGAGCTTCTGACAGATGGAAACTGCTCTGGCCCTCACAAACTGAGGAAAACATTGCAAGGAGGAGGCAAAACATCGAAAAAAGGATAAGCCCAACACTTAAGGATCAGCCTCAGAAGGTTCTGCAAATCCTTTGATGATTACCACTGCTTTTATAGTTAGATTCCTTCCCTCCCACCATTTTACAAAGAAATTATGGCACAGAGCAAGGATGTGCTTAAAAGAGCAGCAGGGGCAGCTTTGGATAGCATCCTGCACATACTCACACAGCCCTTTTCCACCTGTCTCACCATTAGCTGAGGAAGCACTGTAACTACAGCAGGCAGAAGGGGCATGTCCATTTATGCTTACAGATGTAGCTGTTTCAGGCTGGCCAGGCTTATTTTATGCCTGAGTGCACCGAGTTTGCTTGCAAAACTCAGCCTGACATTTATTCAGAGATGGGAGAGGAAAAAAAAAAGTAAAAAATATAAAGGATGCTCATGGATAAAAACATCATTTGGCTTCAAGCTCTAATTAGCACTCTGTGCCAAGAAGAAAGTAATCAGTGGGACACAAGGTAAGAGCTACTTTTTCATATTTCTTTGCTGTCTGCCCTGAGGTGCTGTAGAAATAGCAATAGCTGTTGCTTAAGCCACAGAGCCAAAACAGTTGCTGCCTTCCCCAGAGAGGTTACGCTGCACAAAGCCTCATACCCATTCCTTTGAATGAACGGATGCCCCCAGAGAGCAAGAGAAAAGGCAAATCCTATCGTGCTTGTATCACCTTTGCTCTGATGTTTTATTCATCAAGCCTGAGATCAGGGGAGGTCTAAAGGCAGAGAGTAAATCACTCCAGTGGAAGTCTACACTTACCCCAAACATTTTGGAGGAGGGCAAAGAAGGGAAGCAGGGGGCATCACTTTTTCAAATAGTCACACTGCACATTGCCTAGAAAGTGAGCAATTACTGAGAGGTGCTGAGATGAGAAATGACCTACCATGTACATCGGTCGACTGCACTGCTGGATACAGTCTGTATACAGCACCATCGCTGCCCGTCGAAATATCCCCAAGTCTGTCAAAGAAGAGGATAAAAAGCCAGAACAGCCAGCAGAGTGAGCTCCAAAAAGCCTACAGGGGAAAGATGTGGACACACACCAGCTGACAACAGAGGACCCAGCCTGCAGGTGGGTGAAGGTGTCACTCGTTTTTTGCCCCTTGGGAACTGTACTGAGAAGGGCAACCACCACAGTGTGTGAATGGCACTTGGTTGGAACAACAGGTTCAAACAGAAATACTTAAAATTTTTAAAAAATCCGCTCAACACCAGCACTGCCCAGAAGTCAAACAGGCCCTCTTTGTACATGTAAACAGGCTGGCTTGGCAACTGCATCTCTGGAAGAGAGATGTGTGTGCACGAAGCGGGGAAAGCACCTTCCATGGAACAAGCTGCCAGAGTGGGGAAACAGCAGAAACAAATCCCACAGCCCATAGAGGTTCACAGAAGGGGAAGAGTACACTCAAGACGCTCCTGCCAAAATCATAGCAGAAGCTTCACTGGAGAGCCATCGGTAGCAGTGGGGATGGACCGACACGCATGCACACACAAGATTCAGCCACAAATGGAGAGCTTGAAAAGGCTCCTGCCCCAAGATCTGAGCTCTCCTGGGCTATATCCTGCCAAGGAATAGGACTGGCAGTGCTGCTGGCAAAATGACTTTACCTCAAGAGCCAAGCCCAGGTGGCCCGTGAGCCTGCCTCCCCACACACATCCATGCATCCTCGGTGGCTACACCGCTGCTCAATCAGTTCAACAAAGGAAAAAAAAAAAAAAAAAGAGAGCTGCTGACAGTTACCTGAGTCAGGGCCATCTGAGGCAGACAGGAGCAGAAGAGGAAGGAGAAATATGTTTGTAAGCAGTGCACAAGAGCCGGGTTCCCCACAGACCCTCTCCCCCTTCACCCCATGTCAGGGTTTTACATTGCTCACTGCTCTGAGCACAGAGCTGCAGCTGCAGGGTGGGGTCCCTCAGAGCCCAGCTCTTCAGCCACCACAGAGCAGACAGGTCCTGCTGCCTCCCGTGGGTCTGGGAAGCAGCAGCATGAGGACTTCAGAGGCTAAGAAGAGTGTCAGATGGGTGAGAGGAGAGGATAACCCAGACCACAAGCACAGGCCACAGGACAGGAGGGACCTGCACACCCAGGAGCAAGGTGGTTCAGTAACAGCACTCACCGATCTTGAAGCGGCCCATGTAGTAGATCTGGGTGCTGAGAGCCAGTGAGGCCAGAACATGGATCATTGAGAAAATGACCCAAAACCACATGTCGTTTTTCCCAAACACCTGGAAAAAAAAATAAAAATATCAGAAGACTGAGCTCTTACCAGCATGTCAATCCATTTCTCCCCTATGTCACCATGGGGCATTAGACAACCTCAATGACCATGGGAGGGAACCCCACAAATCTTCCAACCCCAAAATCAGATCTAGAAATCCAAACAAAGTCCAGAGAAGCAAGAGGAACTCAGCACCTCTGGAGAGGAGACCATTTTTTCTAAATGCACCTTCAAAGACGACAGCTTGGAAGGACTGCAGCTGGCCCAGGCAGCAGAAATGCAAGGACTCCCAGGCCAGGCAAGCTCTCCCCGATGAGGTGGGCAGTAGCTCTCCAGCCAGGAGCTGGATTTTTACAAAGGCCGTCAGGAAACCAACTGTTAATTTAAGTACATCATAGTACACCAAAAAGGACAAAGCTGCTCTGCAGGCAATTGCACCTGTTTTACACTTTCACTTTATTTAAGTGAGCTACAAAGGCAGGATAATGCTGTATTAAAACTTCATTTTTTCAGTTATTAATTAAGGAGTCCAGACACTCTGGTCTGCCATCAGGCTGTGACCATACACTCCCCTCCCCTGGGGCACAACACATGCCTGAACATTTCTGGTTTGGGGGGGGAGGAACGAACAAAAGCAAGCAGAAAAGGCATCTTTGCATGAATAGAGTTTCAAATCATCCCCCAAGAAAAAAAAATACAGCAACCCATAATAAAACCCCAGTGTTTTGAACCTGGGTGTGTAGATCTACCACAGCTATCAGGAGATCCTTGGGAAGTCCCAAGTTCACCATCTGTTCCTGCATGCCTTATCCCAGTCTCCTACCTAGAGACCATCGCAGAATCGATTTTTGTTCTGCATTATGTCAGGTAGCAAAGGGCTGACAGCCTGCTGGGACCCAGCTCCTAGTGCAGAGCAAGAATTTACAGAATCACAGAATCATCTCGGTTGGAAAAGACCTTGAAGACCATCTAGTCCAACCATTAACCTCACACTGACCATTCCCAACTCCACCAGATCCCTCAGTGCTGGGTCAACCTGACTCTTCAACCCCTCCAGGGATGGGGACTCCCCCCCTGCCCTGGGCAGCCATTCCAACGCCCAACAACCCCTTCTGCAAAGAAATACTTCCTAAGAGCCAGTCTGACCCTGCCCTGGGCAGCTTGAGGCCATTCCCTCTTGGTCTGGCGCTGGTTCCTTGGCTCAAGAGACTCATCCCTCCTCTCTGCACCCTCCTTTCAGGCAGTTGTAGAGGGCCATGAGGTCTCCCCTCAGCCTCCTCTTCTCCAGACTAAACCCCCCCAGTTCCCTCAGTTGCTCCTCACAGACCTGTGCTCCAGACCCTGCACCAGCTCCGTTGCCCTTCTCTGGACACACTCGGGTCATTCAATGGCCTTGTTGGGGTGAGGGGCCATCCCACAGGACAGCAGCTGCATGCTTGGTCATGGACACCTGGATGCATGAATTTCTCCTAAGTGTGTGTGGGAAAAGGCCAAAAAGGAGCCCACCTAGCAAAAACTGCTCTGCTCTTCCCCTCCCTGCAAGTTTAGGGGAAGGGAGGAGGAAAACCCAAGAGTACTGGCAATTCAAATACTTGCAGCTGCTTAACCCACTCTTATCCTACCCCGCTGCTCTCCCATCATTTGCCCACTTCAGCTATGCTCCCAGCCACACCACCTCCTTCCCAGAGGAGCAGGTAGGTAAGAGGGAGCCATACCACTCCAAGGACGGCCAGACAGATCACCACAGCAAACGAGGCATAGGCAGAGTAGGCACTGGCATTGATGTCCGGGTGGCGGGTCTGGTAGAGCTTGAGCATGCACAGCCCTGCGATCATGTACATGAAGGAGGTGTCTGTGGAGGCAGCACAACGGAACCAGTGACAACAGGTACTGCCAGCAGGCGGAGAAAGATGCTCTGAGTACATGTAAAGAAGCGCAGCAGCAGGGCCAAACCCAACGCTGGCAGGCACAGATCCCTGACGCTGTGCTTACACTTTGTGCTTTGCCATCTTGCAGCACATCTACCATACTCTGGGGCAACAAAAATCAAAGGGGCTCAGAAAATAAGTGCAGCAGATCAAAAGGCAGGGAATCAGAATGGTTGAGGTTAGAAAGGACCTCTGGAGATTGCCTGGTTGTCCTGGTTCAGCCAGGATAGAGTCAAGTTTTCCCCAGCAAAGAGAGAGGGGGAAGGGATCTCCAGCCGGGTTATTCATACCATGCTGACATCAGGTCCAGGGGCGGAGCCTCTTTACTTTCGCTTCTGGTTTTGGTTTTTGCCATACACGCGGCGGGTTTGCTCCTTGACCATTTAGCAGTATTTCTCTGTATATTGTTTGTCTCGTTCACTGTTATTGCTGTTTATTGTTGTGACCATTGATACTGTTGCTGTTCAGATTGTTCTATCACTCTGTTGTATTAAATTTCTTGTTATTTTAGCCGGGGTCTGTGTTTAACTTCCAACCCGACCGGCGCGGGTGGGGGAGAGGCAACGGCAACGTGCTCTCTCATCCCGGCAAGGATTAAACCTTGCACACTGGTCCAACACCCCTGCTCAAGCAGCATCAGCTATGAGAGAGTTTCCCAGGACCATGCCCAGTCAGGCTTTGAATATCTCCATAGAAGGAGACTCCGGAACCTTCCTGGGTAACCTGTTCAGCCTTTGACCACCCTCAAAGTAAAAATAAAAAACAACAAAAACCACCAACCCAAACATCAAAAAAATCACCCAAAATGTTTTCCTGTGTTCAGATGATTTTCCCTCCATTTCCTGTGTTTTAATTTGTGGCCATTGCCTCTTGTTCTGTCACTGGGCACCACACCAAGAGCAACCTGGCTCCCTCATCTTCATTCCTTCATGCACACAGAGAAGATCCTGCCTGAGTCTTCTCTTCCCCAGGAAGGTGAAGGAGCCCACAGAGGAAAGTTTCCACTGCGATGGCAGACAGAGGCTTCCTAGGCTTGAGTATTCTGCCACTCAGGTTGTATACTTACTATCTTCAAATACTGAGCTACAAAAGCAAAGGGAGATCTTGCCAGCAGTGCACTACTATAGTCCCAAGGTCTGGAGGGGAGGATGAAATGCATTAGAGTCCCCAGCATCCAAAGCCTCACTGCTTCCTAAGTCCTGGAACAGGCAGACTCTAGAGAGGTTTGCAAAGGTAGAGGGATGGGAAATGCCAGCAACTGAGCAGGAGTCAGAGCGTTGCAAACCCTACCCCCAGCTCAAAAGGAGAAAGGAAACTCAGCTTACCAAACTGGAAATTGGAGTAATTAGGGCAGACATGATAACAGGCACTGAGCACCCCTTCCATCATCAGAGCGATGCCCATAGCATAAAAGAGACCAAAATGCTTTGGGATCCCATAGTCCTGGAAGAGAGCACAGCTGTAGAGTAAGTAACCTCATTGACAAGCAAGCTTCCATTCCTTACCATTTCATTCCTTCCAACCCCTACGCATGTTTTTCAGTCACCAGTGCAGCACAGTGCACTGTGTGCAACCACAGGCTCTGCATTTAGCCACACTGCATAACCAGGGGGTTCCACAGGCAGCAAACCCAGCTAATCACACAGAAAATTCTGGTCTGAAGACCTCAGTGTCTTAGTACTGACAACCTGAGATTAAATATCTCTGTCCCGTACCTCGTCCCATGCTACATCCTGCCCCAAATTGAAAGAACATTGGGGACCCAGAATAGCAGCCTTGTTCTTGTGGTCAGCAGGGGGTTAAAAGCACCTGAGGAGCAGAGCCCATAAGCCCAGGTGAGAAAGCATCTCCATCATGGTCTGGCTGAGATCTCATCTGAAACCCATAAGCAGCAGACCCTTAAAACCCTTAAGGCCTTTCCTTGCTACCGAGCCAGTGAAAACAGAGCTGTTTGTCTCCAGAAACCACCAGCACCACTGCCCACAGGGCTGCAGATTCCTCCATCCTCTCCCAGAAGATACTGAAGAGAGTGCAAAAGCTCTGGCTACAAGCAGCTCTGCTTCAGAGCTAGAGGCAATCAAATTCCTCTGGGTTATCATAGGCAGCTCTGTTCCCTCCTGCTAACAAGAGTGCCAAGAGAGAATTCTTGATTGTATAAGACAAATCAAAACTCACTATAAACAAAAGCATCTTGGGACACTCCTACTGTCCAAGTTCCTCCACAGTGAGTGCTGGAGGAAAAGCCACAGCCATGGGAGTCTTTCTCTCTACTCGTCTCCTTGTCTTTGCAAGCCTGACTTGGATCACCATAGCAGTATGGACATACTGTAAGCAGCAAAGTACTGGGGTGTGCAAGAACTTGAGTGTCTCACCTAGACCCTTTTTCAGGGGAGGAAAACCAAGGAGGATTCAATCCTCTAGCAGTGAAGGCAAATAGAAACCCACTGTGTTTTCAAGTTCTCCCCACCTCTCCTCCCTCCACTCTGCCCCATGCAACCATGCTTCCTACCAGGGTATAGATATCTTTCATCTCCATGGCCCGACGGTGGAGAATGTCCCTGCGCAACACAATGAGGAGGAAGAGAAAGCCCAGCAGCATGTGGCCCATGTTGCTGAGGATGTTGTTGAAGGCACTGCAGGGAAAACAGGAGGTTTAAGACAAAGACAGCACAGCAGCAGGAAGCTAACCTCTGGGCCACGACTAGCTGAATTTATTTCACTCCCTGCCCCTTCTTCATCCTCCACCTCAGTAGGTGCCTAAACACCTGCCAGTTTGTACCCTCGATGACAATTTTAGGTGGAGTAGTTCCCCTGCCCCAGTGGATTTAACATGTCCTTTGTGAGATGCCCAACTCTGGGCTTTCTTTGCCCAATAGTTCAGAGAAATGCTGTACTGAAAGGACTGCTCTGAACTTCTCTGCATAGCTGTTGCTCCTTGGATACAAGTGAAAATGTCCAAAAGAGGAGGGGAGCACCTCATTGCTGTGTTGTAGGTTTGCTAGGGGAACCCAGGTGCCATTTCCTGAGTGCACGTGTCTCACTGCAACAGAAGGCCACTGCTGAGCAAAACAGCTGAGCAAAAAGCTCAGAGTCCTACCCTCTCAGTGGTCTTAGAGTTACTGTGAGCCTAGCAAGGATAAAATCCTGACACTCAGGAAGCACGAGATAATAATGCAGTGATCATGGGCCTCACTCACCTCAGCACCCCAAGGGGATGAGCACACAGAAAGTTGTAGTAGCAGATGTCCTGATTGCCCGTCACATTCACTACCTGCACAGAGAGGAGGTGGGAGACCTGGTATTAGCAAACACTCTGTGTTCTGAAGGGTTTGCTTCCTGCAAACACTGCATGTACACAAGGTGTACCAGGACACAGCCTAGCTCTCACACCAGCACAGGGGAGTACTGACATCTGCAAGGGAAGCTTTTAGTGGGGGACAAGATGTTGCCACAGGCCACAAACCTGACAACAGTCTTCAGAGGAAACATATTGTGCTCTCAACCCTACCACTAATAGATCTGCTTGCAGATGTCTGAATAACAGCATGATAGCAAGGGTGGGGAGGAGGGAAGAGAAATCACTCATATCACAGCAAACCCTACTTGCTTTCAGTTGCCTTTTAGAGAAAACAGCAGATTCTTCCTGCCTCTAAAATGAAACAGGCCCCAGATGAGACATCAGATGAGCAGGAAAACAGCTGCACTCCCATTTTTCTAGCAAAAATATCAGAACTGCAAGCTTGGCAAGCCAAGCCAGCAGCAACACTCAACACACAGTGCAGGGAAAGCAGCTAAGGTAAACTGCTCCTCAGACAGAGCAGGATTCCTGGGTGATCACTACAACCATCATCCTTACACCATGTCACCAGAGAGCAAGTTTAAAGACAAGGGGACCCAAGCGTGGGGGACAGCCACAGAGGCGAACGCACCGTCTGGTAAGTGATGACGAGCTGGATGACTGGCAGGGCATAAAACACTGCAATGGTGATGATGTTCCTGCAGAGAGGAGACAGTAGGAATAGTTACACACACCAAAACAATTGGTGCACGCCCAGGACAGAGCTCCAGAGTTCTTGTGGAGCATACACCTCAGTGCCAAGGGGCACAGAGCCTGCTCTCCCAGCCAGAGCTTTATACCTCTGGTTATGATCTCCTGAAGCAGAAGAGCAAACGTGCTAATGCAAACAGGAAGCAAATGTCAAGGGCACAAGAAAATCCAGGATGTGAACCACAAGCTCATGTATTTGAGTGCCAGTTTCTCCCTTTCCCCAGTATGTTCCAGCATACCAGTTGTTACCACACCTTAAAGCAATTATGCAAACCAGAATCCCTTGCAAAAATCACGTACTGGTCCACAAATATCCTTATTTGAGGTATGTGGGATCTGCAGTTACTGGCTATCCTCAGGTCTAAAGTACAGTTCAGAAGAAGGGCATGTGGACAGACTCCACAGCCAGATAATAGGTCCAGAGCTCAGGCCTTACCAGTGTTGTCTTCTTACCAGAAATAAATTTTGTATTTTTTGCTGACAATCCTTCGGTCCTTCCTGGACAAGTCTGATAGATAGAGAAATACCTGAAACATTAATGGGTGGGGAAAGAGGGAAGAAAACAGAAAAGAACTAATGAAGACTACAGAAGCCAGATGACATATTTGGACAATATGCAGCTTGGTGTTACTTGGATATTAAAAAAAAAAAACAAAAAACACAACAAACCAAAAACACAGACACAGCAAGCTCACTGTGTCCCTTGATTCTACAGGGAATGAGCTCTGTAAAACCTTCTAACCTCCAGGAATGACTCTGACCACACAGAGTAGCACGGAGTGACAGAAGGAGGCAGTCTGAAAGTTGTAGCTTAAAACCTCTCTGTACATCCACTGTGGTCACACTACTCATACCAGATAACTACCTACTATTGTACACTATTTTCTTCCTATGCTGTCACACCTCCTTGGACTGTCTGAGACACTCTGGGCTTCCTCCTTTTTTATCAATAGTCCCCAATACGTTCTGCCTTTCCATATTAAATCACTCATTTCAGCAGCACAGTTAGTGCAGCAGGAAAGCTACCTAGACTCTGAAAAAACACTAACAGGCACATTCGGATTTATTAGATTAAATCCACCTAAAAGGGAAATGGAAACTAAAAAATCCTGGTGTGTGACTAGCGCTGGTCCTGGCCCAGATGTATCCATGGCCCAAGCTGCCACATCAGCCATACCTTAGTGCGGATGACATTCTTATCACTTTCAATTTCTGGCATGGTGTCAAAGTCACTCTCCTCCTCCACAGAGCTGTCTGTGTCAGAACCAGCTGGCAGCCCACACCCCGGGGAGGACAACTGCCGTCCACCGCTGGAGCTTGACTCGTCTGGAGCAGAGCAGGGAGAAGGAAACATGCAGAGTAAAGGCTAAATCCATCTATGCACAGCAAGAAGAAAGCTGCCCCAGATACCAGCCACAATCTGCTAAGACAGTTGATATGGCCATTTCAGGGAAGAAGTTTTTCCATGACCACAAACTTTCCTAAAAGTCTCAGATTATCAGTTGAGCACTTTCAAGGATCGTCTTCCCCCCTCTGCAGCATTTCATTTTTTTCTCTGCTTTTATTCTGTTACTTCTCATCTTTAACATTTTCTACTCTTTACTAGCCTTGGCTCTGAAATCTGGAAGTCTGAGACAAACCAGAAAGTTATAGTAAAAGCAGCAGACTGTTCAGGGGTCAGAAACAGGCTGACCTAGTTTATCTCCAGATTTTATATAAGCTTTATATATAAGCTTTTCTAAAAATATTGTAGAACAAAAGACAAAGAGGAAGGAAAGTCAATTTTTCAAAGCAGTCAGAACATCAGCTTTGCTCCCATTGCATCCAGAACATTAGTCACCTGCAGGTCAGCAGCAGGACCTGCCTGCACTTCCCACAGGCTGGCCAAGCTCCCAGTCAGCCCACTGTCCATACTGGCATGAGCAGAACACAAGTTTCTTCCTCATTTCCCAAATGCTTTTAAAGCATTTCCTTGGGAATTGGGGAAGGGGGGTAGGGTGATGCTGAAACACTCAACTCTATTCCAGGATTTAAATCCTCCTGAATTTTTCCCAGATCTCATGAAATACGAGTTCTGTGCTTCTTTGTCAAGTGTTCAGAGATATCACACCTTCAGTGTCCAACAACTGGGTGACATCTGTGACATCTGGAGTGTCAGGGCTGTCTTTACACCACAGTGACCAAATGCATCCTGATCAGGGACCAAAAATTACACAAAGTTGCTCTCCTTTCTCATTGGAGCAGCTGCCTCACACTACCCTGGACCTGCACCACCTCACCATGCAACCTGGGTCCCCAAGCTGTCAAGTTCAAGGATTATGTCCAAAAGTCCCCAACACTGAGCTATTCAATGACCATTCCTCCACAGGAAGGAAAAACTACTGTAAGGAGACTAAGAAATACTCTGGCAAAGGAAGGCATTTCCCATCATCTCAGATTAACAGGACCCTTAGGAGGGTTCTTTCCTCCTCTGCTGCCAGGGCATGGTTCACTTGTTGACAGCATGACATTATTTCTCCCTGGTGAGACCTCTGGACTGCAAGAAGTTCTGATCCTGTCTTGCTTTGCAGCATACAACCTTTCAACCTTCCAGTGAACAGCATGCTTCGGCCTAAAGGCAGGCTTGATGAGCTAATAACAACACCTAGAAGCTTGGTTGGAAGGCACCTTTGTCAGTCTCTAGTCAGCCTTCTCACCAACACTTTGCAGGATTGTCACCAACACTTATCAGGTGACTGTGGCTTTGTCTAGGAGAGACAAACATTTCCAATGTCAGTCTCTCTAGGTGCCTTTTCCAGAGATTTGCCACCTTTTTGATGTTGATGTTTTGCCCTAAAGCGCAACCTGAACCTCCTAAGGTCCAATTTTTTTTTTAAATTTTTTTTTTTTTTTTAAGTAGTTGCAAGCTGCTCCTAAAGCAGCTTGGGGCTTTATTCCCTTCTGGCTTTAAAACACCTTAAAGTGCCTTCCCCTGCCCCAGACAGAACCCTCTCTGTACTCTCAGTTCTGGAAGATACCATACCAATAGCACCATAGCTGCTTCCCTCAGGAGTGCTGGCTGTGATTGGATGCGAAGATGTCATTATCCCAGATCCTGCAAAGGAAACAGACCCAAAAGGGACAGTTAGTTTCATGTCAGTGCTTCAAAACACATCTCTGAGGTGAATACAAACAGACTGAAAAACTGAAGGGGCTTGGGAAAAGCAGCATTTCTCAAAAAAGATGGCAGCCTCCCTCCAGAGCATATATGCAGAAGGGAAACTTACTTTGCAACATGAAGCAAACCCATTTCCTTCAGCATCCCCTCATAGGCTGCCAGTTTGACTCACAACAGCATGAGCCTCCCTTCAACACCCTGTAGGCACCAGGTCATCGGGCTGCAAGACCTGGCAAATTCTAGAGCAAGTCTCACAATATTCAAGTGAGGGTAACTCTCACAATAATTCTACTCCTTCCCTTCCTCACGCATTGATCTATTCAAATATCGCTACCTCCAGTTATCCCTGGAATAGTCACAGTCTTTGGCAAGACAGTTGCTACACAGTTTTAACCAAACAAGGAGAAAACAAAAAATGCTCCATGCAAAAAGCAGTCACAAGATGACAAGAAGGACAAGTCTTTGAGGGCTGGGAAGTCCCTGCCTCCCACCTGCACACCTGAAGCAAGGAGGGTTGCACTGAGACTTTCCCTTCCCACCTCCACATTCCCTTTTTTTTCCCTCTGTGGCAGGGCTCAGCTGCTGAACTGGCAACAGACAAACACAGAAGGAAACAGCCAGTTGAATCACCACACTGAGGAGTCAAACACCCATCTCCCCAAAAGAGAAGGAAGCAAGAGCAGCAGGAGCAGGACCCATGTCTTCCAGTGGTGGCAAACAGCGAGACAGGTCCAGTTGCTTAAAAAGCTTCACCTTTGCAACATCGTACAGCCAATCAGCAGCACAGGGATGCAGGACATGGGATAGTATTTAAAGCCAAGCAACTTTACTGCAGCCTGGCAATGTCCTGGCTTCCCAAGCTGCACGTCTGGCTTCCCAGCACCCAATCTGTCCCACACTGACAGGCACAGGCAGACTCCTCTTCCCAGCTGCTAATTCTGGGCACTTCTATAACACATTGTGGAGGTTTTTATACCATTTCTATTAGCCACATATGTAAAGAGCCACAAAACTTTCCCTGGCCTGAGCCCAGTTCCTAGGCAGGGGAGCACCCATACAGCAATAACATTTGATGTTTCAAGTCCAAATCACTACTTTCCTTCGACACGTTCACTGTGCTTAGACTTGGCCTCCATTTCAGCTTCTCTACCCTCCTGCCCCATCCCTCTAACAGTGCAACAAACAGCTCAGAGGAGCAGAAGTGGACATCATGGCATGGACTGAGCACTAGAGAGGAGGCTGTGACTCACCACAGCCCCCCAGATGACACCCCTTCATTCCTGAGCTGGGCTTAGGAGGTTGTAGGTTGCTGCAGGAGCAAGATCCACCTTCTAGTCATCACCATCTGTGCAAACCTCCCTCTTTCATGGTAGTTTTTCCCTTTGCTTTAATGTCATTTGGGCATCCAGATCACTGAGAAAAGGGTGAAGAAGTATTTCCCCATGTTCATGGCACCAAGGCACATGCACAATTCCTACTCCTGTCGGTCCTGTCCCACAGGGTTGTTCCCTCCTTATTTCAGACCAGACTTTATGCTCTCAAATGACCTGTCAACCTTCTCTTCCAAGTAACCAAGGGAAGATTTAAATCTGGACAACCCAGAGATTTGAGGGAGAAGTGCTCTACCCTCTTCGGACCCAGCTCACCCACTAATTTCAGTCCCACTTCCCAGTGTGTGAGTCAGCAAAGTAAATATACCACACTAGGTGTGGTTCTTCCAGCTATTGGCTCCACCAGACAGTGATGATGTGGAATAGGAGGTGTGTCACAGGATTAAAAAAAAACAAAACAAAACGTTAACCACAGAAGCCAGGCACAAGGTAAGTGACAGGAACAAAAAGGCACATGGAGTTGGAGGATATTAAAAAACAAAGGGCAGCAACAGAATGCTCAGCACCTCCAACCACGTTTTCTTGGTGGGGAAGGGGAAAGGGGAGTGATGGAGAAGGCAAGACCCAGGGGTACTTTGGAGAAAGAGAAATTCCAGTAGGTGGGAAGAGGAGAAAAATAATATTGAGAGAAAGGCAGCATGCCCTGGTTGATCTGGAGGACGGGGAAGATGCTAGTTACCATTTTCTAGGCATCAGTCAAACACACACCCTGAAGAGACACAATAGAGAAAGAAACAGCATGTGGGTAGGACATGGTTCCTCCCCAGAGGAAGGGACATGGCTGTGGCATGCAGTGCCAGGCACGTGAAGGTGACAGAGGACAAGGGAGAGGACAGGCCAGGTTACAGAAGAAGCAGGTGCCTCTGGGAAGAAGCCTGTAAACCAAGAAGAAACTGTGCTCCCCTGTTCTTTCTTCAGGAATCCTCCCGGCCCAGGAACTCCGTTCTCTGCCCTTTTGGTCTGTGTTAAGCACAGCATCTGTTCTGCAGCTTCTTTGTGAACTCTCCAAGCACTGAAATTTAACTTCCACCTCTTGACAGGGCAGCTTAGAAAGCAGCTTCTTAACTGCCTTCAGCACACAAGCCCTCAGCTGCAGCACCAGCAGCACTCCCTGGGGCTTCTGGTCTCTCCTGGCTGAGACTGTGCCTCTTTGCCTTAGACAGCACTCCCTTGTCACCATCCTGGAGTTCTTCTAGAGCCTTGGCCAGGTCCCTTCAGCTTCCCCAAACAACCTGATATACAGGCCCTTTCCCATTTCTCCAGGGCCCTAAGACCTGCTGTTGTCTCACATCAGGATCCATCCCAAGCAACTTAAAATTAGAATATTTTAACACGTTTTTACAGTCCACTGCTCAGTCAACCATGAAGAAAACCTTTCATACACATTCCACATACAGGGATGCATATGTGGATCTCAGTTGCTGAAGAAGCCACCCCTAAGAATCCAAATGTCCCCAGATCCTCAGCAGAAACATTAACCAAAGTAATGTTAGGTCTGATTGAAGTTCCCCTGCTGATCTTTTAAACACAGCTCAGTTATACTAGTATGCTCTGGCGGTATGTAGCAGACCAGAGAGACTGAAGCAGCTGGAGATTTAAGAAGGGAACACACCAAGGATCTTTCAATGCTGCCAAAACATAACATACTCCCTTTCCCCAGGAGGGAGCTACAAATGACAACGCCTTTATCCTCAGACCAGTGTTTTGAACTACTTTGCAGACACTAAATATTTAAACAAAATGAAACTGTCAGCCTCCCAGACTTTTCCAGAAAACAAGAACTCCCAGTTGCCCCCTCCATCCACATGACAAAAATATCCATCTTTCACTGGCAGCCTCTTAGATGCAGCTATGCTTTTATAACGCATAAATCTGCAGTAAGTTGAAATGTGGGTGCAGCATAAAATAAACTGAACCCAATACCAAACTAAATAAAACAAACACCACTACCTATTAGTCATTAATTTACTTGGTTACCTGAAACTCCCAGTGAAAAATAAATTACAATTTAAATTAAAATTTGGAGATCCCATGTTTAAACCAGGCAGAGGAAATCCTAAAAGCATAAAAGCTGACAAACTCAAAATACTTTGCTTAGAAATGAACAGACGTGGCATCAGGAACATTAGCCTGTAGCCAGGCTTAGCCAAGGCTTGCCCTTCCTCCACCCCTCTAAACGCCAGCTCCTCAGGGTAGGGGTCAGGACCAGGTTCAGGGAGCCTGCTTCAAACATCCTCTCTTGTGAGAGTAGTGAAGAAGTTCTAATGTCTTTCATCAGCACCAGAGACCATGTGGCACATGTACAGGGAAGAAGGCTTGAAGGGACAGAAGATACTGGACTGACAGTCTGTCCTTTGCCTGGCCTGGGAACTGTGCTGTTCTTTTAGAGGTGTCAAACAGAAGAGAGACCTTACCATCCTCAGGACTCAGTCTCCCAGCCGAAGCCTTCCTCCGAACCCTGAAAAACAACAGGCAGCACTCATGAGATAGCCAACAAACCCCATCAGCTGCCAGTCATAGGCAAATATAATGCAAGCTCTAATAAACAAATAATAAATAAAATAAACCACAAAAGAAACAAACAAAAACAACAAAAAAAAGAAAAATACTGTTTTGACTAGACATGGCTCATCCATGACTGCTTGTTGTCCACCTCTCCAATTTCCAAAGCAAGAGTGGTTGGTTTTTTTACCCCCTGAACTACCCACCAGAGGCAGGATAACCAGTTATATGACCGTCCCATTCTACACTGCTCAGTATGTTGGGAGAAACTCTCAGACCACCTTCCCAAACCCAACTCCCCCACTCAGAGGACCAAGCACATAAAAATCTACTGAAACAGAAACAGGAGCTAGAGGCACACATAAGTACGATGTTTAAGAAGCCAATACCACCTCCTGCAATGCAGGTGCTGAACAAGAGAGGGTAAGAAAAAGAAAAAAACCAAAACATATGCCTAAAACAAAGAAAAAAATAACAGCAAAAAGAGCACACACATGCACACACTTAAGTAATTTCATTTAATTGTTCCAATGAAATGTTGTTTCATTGATACGCCTTGAAGTTAAGCCATCTCCCCATCTTGAAACTCTTGTTTCAGAGCACTAAACTTTTGAAGCAGCTGAAAACTCTTTGCCATGTTTGGTCTGAGGAGCTGGCTGACAAGTGTTGCTCCCACAACACTAACCTGATGAAAATTTTAGATGGCTTTTCTCACACCATTTGCCCAGTGGGACAGGAAAGCGTTGAAGGCGCCTCCCTCCTCTCCAGCCTCCATGCTTTGGACAAAGGTTCTACTTAACTGTTGTCACTGCCTACACAGGCAGCAGTGACTGATCCCAGCAAACTCCACCATCCCCACCTTAAGAGCACCTGGCCACTGCCCCATCGAGGCTCTCATCCTGTGCTAGTTCCCACCCACCCTACAGGAGCAAATCTTACCTCCTTTTTATGCTACTGTCCCCTTCCTGCCCCTCCAGTCCTTTCTCTCACTCAAGAGGACTTCAAGATCACCTCCAGTGAGCAACAGGCAACCCTGGGGCAGCTGGGAAGAGTTTTGCCCTTTTTTTTTTTTGCATCCTAGAATAACCTGTTATGGTAGCTGTGCCCAAGTTCACCTCTGATGCAGATCTCCTCAACACAAGCCCAGGCACCAAGGTCTGGGGCAGCAGAGGCAGGTCAGGAAGGAAACCAGCACTCTCCAAGGCCCTGTCTGGGTCACGGCCACTTATTGCAGTACTCAGTCCAGCACTCTGGGAAGCACCCTGGTTCCCCAGTGCTCTAGCACCCCATATCCCAGACTGGCCCCATCACAATTCTCACCTGACAACCAGTATCCTCATACATAAGGAAACCCAGGGGTGGGACATTACAAAAGCTAGAGAGCAGAGCCTTAGGTTTTCATCACTGCCATGATCCCCACAGCAGAAGACAACAAATTTTCTGGCTGTTGGTCAGTAGGAGCCCAGTGAGCAGTCATGGACAATTTTGGCTGCTCTGTTCTGATGCGTGCTGCCCTACTTGCCCCAGACGTACTGCACGGTGAGGCATCTCTGAGGATGATGAGAAACAAAGGCTGTTCTTGTAAAACCCCTCAACGCACCTGATGTAGTGCACAAAAGCAACAACCACCGAGCCCAGGTAAAAGGAGAGGAAACTCAGGAAGCTGAAGAACATGGCCTGGACATAAATGGATTCTGAGGAAAGAAAAGGCATCAGTCAGCTCACAGAACAGGGAAAACCTCTCAGAGGCAGCATCCCTGTCCTCCTCTTCCCAGCAGCACCTGGTGACAATTCCCAACCCCAAATAAGCCCTTCAAAACCCATCTGCTTTCTTCAAGAGGAATTGCCAGAACTTGTTGCAAGATCTCCCCCTATTTCTTCACTCCTAGTGCTAGCTGGTGTGCCTGGGAAACCACCCCATGCCACACAGCACCTCCTGGAAGGGACCAGGGCTCCAATTGGTTTTGACACCTTTGCTGGTTCTTTCTACACCATCCCATCAGAGGGCTGCCAGCCCAGCCATACCCTTCTATGCAGAAGTGCCAAGTCCCCCTGTAAAGTTGCATTGCTCTGACCAAAGACACTGACTTTTAATAGAGGGCACAATTGTCACTTGAAGGTTCTTCGTCCGCTGAAGGTTCCAGGTACGGTTGACATTCCCTGTGAGATGCAAAGTGTACAGTAAACAAAAACAATCAAACATTATGATCTCTGGCCCTGATCTTAGTTCTCTGAAGTTGTAAAAATACCAGAGTCTGGCTTTTCACTATAATCTGTGTGTGGTTTTGCTCTAAGTCTTTCAGATGTGCCAATATAGAGCCTTTTCTGTATGTTTCCTCTCTCCTCCCTATCCACAACCTCCTTTTCAGACTAGAAGTCCCTGTTTGAGCCTCCCATACACTGCTCAAGTCTGGATGCCTGAATTCCGAGGGCATCTCATCTCCTATTCATCTACTCCCCAAAGGGCAGTTTCTCTCACTACAGCTACTGGGACACCATTTGTGCCTTTGGCCAAAGCTCTGTTGGCAAAACACTTGTGTACAGGGTGCCATGATAGCAACCTGCTGTGTTTCAGCAGGGCACAACCTGCCAGTAGAGCTCTGCTGAAAGCTTTAGGATAAAAGAAAGACACCCAGAAGGTGACAATTCTTTTTTTCAGGGGAAATTGGAGGGGTGGCAGGGTGTGGGGCTGTTGGGAGAGCTGAGTATATCTGTTGTTTGCAGTCTTGCTTCTCCTACAGGTAGGATGTCATCCACCTTTGAGGATAAGAATGTTCCCACTCCCATTACAACCACCACATGAGTGGTGGAGGCTTTGCTTTTACCACTGCCCAGGAAGTGGACATAGTGTTTTCTTGCTGGGAAAGGCTCTAGAACACGCCTCTTGTAAAATTATTCTCCCAAGATTACTAGTTTTTCCTGTTCCACCAAGTCCAGGTCTGTCACAGATCCCAAGATAGCAGTGGGACAAGATGCTCCCTGCAGGAACTGTCATCTGGGCCTCCATGCAGGCAGGAGGATAATACAGCAGTAGGGGGGGGGTAAAAAACAAAAAACAAAACAAAAACAAAGCCAACAGACACACACACCCTACCCCACCCCTCCAAACAAAAATCTGTAAGCAGCATTGCCTGGATGTTTCCAATGACTCCTTTGAAAAGCACATAACCCCAGCAAGTCAGGCATCTCCTGGATTGATCAAGACTTTTAACCTATCTGATAATATCAAATTTATACTTCATTCTTCCTCACAACTACCTGGATAAGACAGAGCTACACGGACCATCCCATCTCATCCCACAGGAAGGTTCCAAAGGGCTCCTGCTGCTCCATCAGCCGGATGCAGCAACCAAATCCACCTCCCAGCACAATTTACCATGAATGGAAGAAGGCACAGAACCCCCACAGGCATAATCCTCCGGCTTGATGACAAACACAACGAAGAACTGTTCACCTGGGAAGTCCTTTCTCTGCATAGAAGGATGGAAGAAGACAGAATCCATGAGACATAAAGGAGCCTCTCCCTCCAATGCAAAGCAGAGGTGGTGCTCCAGAAGGAGGTTTTAGTTGCTACACAGGCACCAGCCTTACAGAGACCCGCCTGCTCTTGACAGAGCTTGGCTTCTGGGGATGCTCCCCTCCTCCTTCCCGACAATAAGCTGACTGAGTTCACCAGTATGCAGCATGGCAGTGCCCCAATACAAGCAAACCAATACTAATGCATTTATTCATTTACTTTAATTAGTGCAAACCATCTACCTAAGCTTTGCTTATTTTAAAGGCCCTACTACCACTCTGTGGTAGAAGAGCCAAGGTTCAAAAAGACGACCCTTAGCTGCAGCCACTCTGATCTAAAGCCTCAGCCCCTAAGACATAACACACACACCTAAGCAAACATAAGCAAGGTTTTGTAATAAAAGGTAATGTCACTTCTTCCACTTATATCAGTTGATCCAATAAAAACAAAGGCTCACAGCCATACCAGAAACATCAAAAGAAAACTTGAAATACGTATGACAAGCTATGGGGAAAAAAAAAAAAAAACAAAACCAAACACCACAAAAATCAGCATCTCACCTGCACCGTTATGGCTGCCTGCTTAGTCATAGACTGGTAAACACCGTTGAACTCCACATTATGGTCCAGGTCATAGACTGGGCACTAAAACAGACACAACTAAGGGTTAAACCAGGGACAAAATCCAAACTAATTTTGCAGGGAGCCAGCAGGAAAACAGACAGTGCAAAACAGCAGAAAAAAAGCCCCACTCAGGGTAACAAAGGGAACAAAACAACCAGGATCCATTCAGAAGTTAGAAAAGTTGTTCTGAAGACACCAGCTGCGGCCTGCACTCACTGATCTCAGCACGCTCTCGAGAGGGCTGCAGTTTAATCCCAGAAGAGGATTCAGGCAGATTGATCACTCCACCATTCCCACAGGGCAGCACATAAACTCAGCTGTACACTGGTTGCGTCACACGCTTTACACTCTGTACTATATACCAAGTGCTTGCCCTCATTTTACTCTTTCCCACTACTCTCAATACCAGACAGGTTGAAAAATCACCTGTCAGAGTCTCCCCTTCTGCCCTTTGACCATTCAAACAGATGTGGGCAGGAGTTGATGTTACCCATTTCTCTCCTCACCCTGGGTATTAGCAGTGACTTCAGAGGCAGCAGCCAAGGCATCTTTCACCTCTGTCACCATCTTGCTGCTCCCACCCTGCAGATCACTGCATCATTCAGGGAGGTGGGAAAGGGGGATAAATATGGGGCTATTTTCTAGCTGCAAGCAACAGCCAGCCTCCATAGCAGGGAAGAGCTGTTCTTCCCTTTCTAGGAAAGGGGATGAATAATTGCATAGAGAGGAAATTAAATTGGAAAGGAGGAGAGAACTCATGTCTGGGAATCGGAAGCTCCCCATGCTGCCTTGAGCCAGGGGAGAGTCAAGGGAACAGCACTGTCCCCTTCCTCAGCCACCAGCATCCCATCCAACACCACTCTGTGGAGAGACAGACGCACGTCACAAGGCAGCAGGGTATTAAACGTCATGAGGGGAACATAACAAGGGTCCTACGGACAGATTTGGAGAGGAACAGCTTGTTCACTTATTTGCAACAAAAATCTCTGTACAAGCTGCTTGAACTCAGCATCTCTGTCTTCACCTCCTTCCCACAGAATTTTCATTCCTCTTTCAGGGGCTCCCACTACCACCACACTAGGGTGAAGCCCTTCCTAGGGTGGGTTTTTTTTTTTTTGTTGGGGCACAGATTCCCTCGTAGCAGGACACAGAACTCCAGCAGACAGCTTCTTACCCTTCTCTGCTCAGACTTACCACAATATCCTGGACGGAGACAACTGAGCATGGGTAGACTGCATCAGACACCACCTTAATAATGACTGAATCGACATCCTGAGGAAATTTGTACAGAAAATACTGAGGAGAAAGCAGAGGGCTGAGAGTTACGATTCAGAAATCACCCTTGCCAGTAGCTTCACAGGCCAAGCTGGGCTTTGGGGTTGGATGTGGAGGGCTTTCACAAAAATTAAAATTTCAAATATTAAGACCTTACACTACAGAAGACCAAACACATACAGACAACTCTCCCCCTTGCACACCACGCTGTTAGACACAGACACCTTCAACATGCAAGACGCAGCATAGCTTCTGCCCCGTCAAGTTTTTTTCCACCTGATCAAGCTAAGTGACTTCATTTTATACCCTACTCCATTTTCTGTAGCTATGAGCAATTTCTGGATGTTTCCATACTGCTGGCTGCACTTTATATACAGAACATATCATGGAGTTTCTCAGATGGGTTGCCTCAAAGACAGACTGCGAAAGGTATTAGGTCAAAAGGCTGAAACTGTCAAAAGCTTCACAAATGCATGCCTGATATTAGTTGTATGATTTAGGGGTTTTGGTTTTGCTTGGTTTTGAGGGCAAAGAGTACTAGGGGCTTCTCTTTTCACTTCAGCTTTGAAAATAATTCAGCTATAACTCATAATTTGGGAGGCACTAGCGTCTGCTTTTTGACTAACATTCCTACTTTTCCTCTGAGGGCAAGGAGTTGTGTTTCTTGTGCTTCCATGCTTTGAGCAGGCCCACAAGACAGTCTGCAGGGTCAGGAAATACCCTTCCCTGTCCCAGCAAGGGCTTTTTCAGGTTTGGACAAAAGATGTCACAGGAAACATCATTATTTGCATATTTTTCCAGTAAAAGTTTGATGTACTGCACCAGCCAGCTGCTGGAGAAGCAGGGTTTCTGTGCCTAACCCAGCAGGCAGGCTTGTTGCAAGGGCTCCCATTGTCCTGCTTGGAGCCCAGACCCTGAGAGCTCGGGCTCACAGTCACAGCTACTGTGAGGGGCTGACAGGCACCTCACCCCACCTCAGAGGGGACTGCCACCTGCCACCCTCCCCCCTTCCTCGTGGTCACCTGGCAGCCACTGCTGCCACCCCACAAACTACCACAGCTCCAAAGCTGTAACCTGAGACATTCCTAACAGGAGAGTTCCCTTCAGGTCACATAAACCTTAGTGCTGAGCAAAGACCAGCCACTTCCCTCTTTCCTTTCCCCCATCCCCTTCCCAGCAAGTAGGGCCTCCAGCTGGAAGGGCAGGGATAAGCAAGACATCACCCAGGCTTTTTCCAAGTTTGCCCATTTCTACTAAAGCATTTATTCCCACCACCCTGCTCCAAGCATAGTCCCCTCACTGCTGAGGGAGTGCTGGCTCCGACCACAAATCCTCACAAACTGAAAACTCACCAAGACAGTTTCTTCAGCAGAGCATGTTTTATCTCCACTGGGCAAGGACACTGGCAGCCTGAGCTCCTTGGTTTCCCAGCCATACTAGTCTTGGAAAGCTTTAGGTCCTTGAGGAAGTCACCCATGAGGACCCTTCTATAATTTTCAAGCCACACTTATACCAGAGTACAGAACTAGCGTGAGAGGCACTAAAGCCTACAGTTCTCCACTGCACAGACTAAAGGGTATAAACACATCCACACCACTCCTGACCTATATGAGCATATTTAATTTCTCCTCCTGCCCTCAGGCATGAGCTGCATTCCAGACAACAGCTCCTTCAGTTGCTTTGCTTGTCTTTTTCATTTTTAGGGCTATTTCAACACACATCTAGATTTTGAATTGCCTTTTTTTAATCCTCCTTCCCACAGACTACATAACACTGATTTACAAAAACCTCAGCATCATATCAGTTAAGCACCACTCACCTTCTACACTCTATATCTGGTCTATAATTAAAAGTCACTAATGTCATATTATTCATGGTGACAAATAACAGACTGAAATTAGAGTTAATTCCAGGCCAGATCCTAAACACACTGCATTTGTATTACAAGATCCTAAGTAATGAGGGTTTGAAGAGCCACCACCATTTCCCATGCTTCTGTAGCATAAAACACTGCATGTATCTGCAAACCAGCTTAAGACATTTGACAGCAAAAAAGATTAGCTGGGATGCCTGGTAATAGGAAACCTAAAATTAAGTGGTGTTACTAACGGTGATAGCAACAACAAAAATTAAGCACCAGACAGCCTGGGTAAATGACATACTTTCCCAGCTCTACGAGCTCCTGTATCACTATAGTTACTGCCAACAGCATTTTCATTCAAGAGAGGACTTGGAGTATCTACAGAGCTCTAAACAAGGCTGCTCAGCTGGATGTGCTGTACACGTGTGCTCTCTTCTGAACTAATAGCCAAACTTGTCAGGCATTTCATTTATCACCTTGCAACTTGACTTGCTGCCCTGAGCAAGGAAGTGCAGTCTGAGTTCTGCTGTACCTTTACATCTTATTTATGTATTTATTTTTCTCCAGTAAAGGCCACATCTTGGCAAGTCACACTCGGGCAACTGAACCAGCACAGCTGGAACAAGATGCTGGTGCACACCATCTCATGTCTCATGAAGCGCAGAAGCGTAGCAGTCCAATGGCCTCTGGACTTCTGTACATTTCTAAAATTTCCTGAACTGCAGATACCATTCATTTGCTCTGGTCATGTTTTTTGGGTCTATTAATTGCTTTGCAAGAGGACCCAAACATGCCCCTAAAGGGGCCGAGGCACTGCTACCTCTTCATTATATCCACAGATAATTCAACAGTAAGGAAGTTTTCCTGCATCCTAAGAGGGAAATGACCTAGTCATATAAGCTATCTCTAACAAAGGATCAAATCAACAATTTGGATGTGGCAAGACATATAACACCACATAGGACTCCTCCTTACCTGGGGCTGGGAAGGACTGGCAGTGAAGTTAAAGGCTTTGTTGGTCCTAGAAAACAAGTGACAGCATGTTGTAGCCTAAAACTTTCAGAGCTAGAATACACACAAAGTACCTTCAGATTAAGGAAAAGAAAAAATAATCTCTCTTTTTCTGGGAAGAAAAAAAGAGGGCAGGAGTAGGCAGATGGACCAAATCCCTGTATAACAGATAAACGAAGAAAATACATTTGTATTTTCACATCCCAGCTTACTCAAGTTGGAAGTTCTCGAGCCTGGTGACTAGCAGCTCATACGCAATATTAAATGGTGCCATGGAAGCGACGTCCACAAATATAATTTGGTCAGAGGGTCCTGTCTCAGGTGTTGGCTCAGAGGGACAGAGGGTCCGACTCACTTCTTGGTAATTGTAGGTCCTCTGATAGCTACAACAGCCATGGGAAGGAGGGAAGGGAAAGTTGGATGGAAAAAGAGAGAGCAAGGAGTTAGAAAGTTGTTTGGCAGTTCCAAGAATGACATAATTTCTCCCTTGCTTGCATAAGTGAAACAGTAATCTGAAAGGCCAAGACTTTTATTTGGAGCTTAAACTCCACCTCTGTTGACTCTGTGGTCTGCACAAGAGACTGGTTATCCCCAACATTTTTCTTTCCTCAGGGCTGCCTGTGCCATCTGCAGATATAACACACCAGTCATTTGTTGGAGGCAGAGACAGCAATGAGCCCAGAACAACTGCTGCTGTATCCATCCCCTGCCTCACACAAGACACTGCAGGGTATCTGCTGCCTGGCACCAGAATCACACAGAATCAAACCCCAAGTTGGAAAAGACCTTGAAGATCATCCAGTCCAACCATTAACCTCACACTGACCGTTCCCAACTCCACCAGATCCCTCAGCGCTGGGTCAACCCGACTCTTCAACCCCTCCAGTGATGGGGACTCACCCCCTGCCCTGGGCAGCCCATTCCAACGCCCAACAACCCCTTCTGCAAAGAAATACTTCCTAAGAGCCAGTCTGACCCTGCCCTGGAGCAGCTTAAGTCCATTCCCTCTTGTCCTGGTGCTGGTTCCTTGGCTCAAGAGACTCATCCCCCCTCTCTGCACCCTCCTTTCAGGGAGCTGTAGAGGGCCAGGAGGTCTCCCCTCAGCCTCCTCTTCTCCAGACTAAACCCCCCCAGTTCCCTCAGCCGCTCCCCATCAGACCTGTGCTCCAGACCCTGCACCAGCTTTGCTGCCCTTCTCTGGACACACTCAAATAATTCAATGTCATTTTTGTAGTGAGGGGCCCAAAACTGAACACAGTAACTGAGGTGTGGCTGATGATCTCAGATGGTCTCAGGTGCCTGTAAATTCTCAGTACTTGCAGCCTAACTAGCTCTGAGGCTGCTGAAGATACACAGTACTTCCACAAAGAAAACACCCAAAACAACCACCACACCCCAGAACAGACTCAGCTTAGGCGTACCTGGGGTGAGAAACAGAGGAGATCCCTTATTCCCCAAATGCGCTGTAACACAGTAGTTAAGGTGCTCTTTTGAGAGCTTGTTCAAGCCCTGCTCCAAACTAGAGTTCAAGAACTACGTGTGCACACTACAGCAACTGTGGAAGTGACAGTGCCATGCAGTAGGTTCACTGACTAGGGACAGGCAGATCCCCAGCAGACAAGCCTCCTGCTGCTCTGTGTACATACCTGAGAAACAAAAATACAAGAGCAGGCTGTCAAGAGGTCACCTACCAAATCCCAGCCTTCCTATGTTCAACTGACAGTGAGGAAGCATGCTTTGCAACCAAGCCCTGCAGTCTAGACACGTGGTAAGATCCAGCACTTGAGGAAGGCTGATGATGGATACAGCTGGCCAGACAAGTGTGTTACAAGGAAGAGACTCCAGTACTTACAGGCCTCGAAAAATGAGCGGGACCTGCCACGACAGCACTCCCTTCTGTTGGCGAACTACAAACAGCACTGGATATTGGAGGTTCTCAGAGCTGCTGTTCACATATACCCGCACAGCATCTACCTGTGGGAAGAGAAAGGAGAGTGCAGATGGGCGTTAGCTGAAGGCAAAGAACAAGACAGCTTCAAATCTAGGGGGGGGGAAGCTGTACCCCTTTCTCAGTCTGACCTAATTGCGGGCAATGTCCACAAGGATATCAACAGTAGTTTGTCACTGGACTGGTTATTCCAATCCAGAGGTCATTTTACAGAAGTGCTTCCTTGCTGCTGCTCCAATCCAGAATCACAGCCCTCTCCCCAAGTCAGAGGTGTCTGTCAGACAAGACCAGTGGAAAAATGCAGCAGGCATAAGAGGAATAGAGTTCAGAAGGCTCCACTTACCCAATTGGGAGCAACCTGAATTACTGGTGTTATAAAATGAAACAAACACACACACAGACCCATGGCTACAACTGAGAATTTTCTTGCTTGGACTCTTATGCACCCAACTCAATCAACAGTACTAGGAAAGTTAAAGGTGACTGAAGACAACATTAATAGTTAGGTTAGCAGCTAGCACCTGGCTCTGCTGTAAACAATACTGAGATGACGACCATAACCCATATATACCCCACCTAACAAAACAGGGACACACTGCTGACTGCCCTCAACTGGACAAGGAAGGCTGCTTCAATTTGTGAGCAAAGAGTTTAATGCAGCCTGCTGCACTAGCAACTGAAATTTCTCCTTAAATTATCTGGCCACCACACAGTTGCCAAGGTAGGACAGCTGTGGGGTAGAACACCCTCAGTTCACTATTTGCTTTGAGAAGCAAGCAAGCAGTTTGTCTGCACCAAAGGAGAACGGCACGGCTTCCATTTGAAAATAACATCTCTTCAGCCCCCTCTCCAGAGCTGCATGTGTTGCTCAAAACAGGTTATGAGAATGCATAACTCATCAGAAGAGACAGTACGTCTCGATCAGAGGCCTTTAGTTGGTAAAGTGATATTAATTAAATAAGATATACACATTTTAAACCCAGCACATCTCGAAAGATTAGAGTGGACTCTCACAAGATGGGTGAATGGCTTTTCACAGATATCTCAAGCTTATACTTTCCGAGAAGAGTAAAGGTAGAAGTGGGTGCCACCTTTGAAAAAAACCATACAGAGTTAGCAGGGTAGAAGGGCAGCTACCTGAGTTGGCAGCTTATGCTTACACTGAGGACACCAGGTTCAGTGAAAGAGCTTGCATTTGCAATCACAGGTCTAAAAGATCACTTCCTATTTGTTCTTGTTTAGTGATTCTAGGCTCACATGGGAGTTTAGTTTACTGGAAGGAAACACCTTCCTGATAGCTATAATCGTTATCAATTCTCCTGCTGTCATCACCCTAATACAGATGTTACAGCCACCAATTCCTAAAAAATAAAAGTCTTCAACAAAAAACATCATAAATAATTTAATTAATAACACCTTGAGATCGAAGGGCAAACACTGGAATCTTTTTCCACTGTTTTCTGGTTTCTAAACCTTTGTAATACTCTTTTAGTATACCTTCCAGCTTTTCCTTCTGAGCACAAAATCTACATATAAAATTTTATTTCCAAGTAAATTTCACTGTAGGGTGCTAAAACCAAGTTCAGAAAAACACCATCCCAAAGCGAGACTCACAGGTAATATCTGAAGGGTATCAACACAGTAGGTCACCACCACCAGACAGCACTGGAAAGTTACTCTGTGGCTTCCTTAGTCTACATGGTTGTCCTGCTCGGCCAGGGGAGCTGAGCCAGCACACGGTGGTATAAATAGCAAAGGCAGGGACTGTGTTGAACAAGCTGCTGCTTGTTTGTAGGTGTTTGCTGTATCACTGTGACAAGGAACAGGGACCCGAATGAAGCAACGTTGGAACTGAATAAGGAAACAAATCTAGGGAGCACAAAGACACAATGGTCAAGCCAGAGTCCCATAAGCACATGGAGCCATTCCCCACCCATGGGGAAACCAGCTATCACTGCACAAAGGACACATTCCAGCTACCTGTCCATCAGCTTTTTGCCCACAAAACAGGTAAAGCAAGCCCACCTCCACAGGTGAAGTGATTCACCCTGCCTCTGCTTGGACACCACTCTGAATCCTCCAGGGCTCGGCACATCAGCACAACACAATGGAGAGCTCGCATCAGACTCCCAGCAAACAGCACTGCTGGGCTACGCATCCTCAACCACTCAAATACAAGCTAGACATTGGGAAATCCTCTTCTGCACTGACTTCATGAATGCAGAACATAACCCAACACATGGGTTATGCATATGCTGCAGAGTCAAGTTTACTTTGAGTACAGTTCATTCATATGTGTTGGAAGACCTAAAGTTGCATCTCTACTTCTAAATTCCCATTTTAAGAAATACACTGGCTATTTGAAGTATTAAAAAAAAGTACTACTTTTACAGTTTGCCCAGGCTTTGGACACAGAAGTGAAAGTTGCATATGCATGAGAGTGCCTCTTCTTCCCACCTCACATCTTCCCTTTCAGCAAAATAAGTATTTTCAATATTGATTCTAAGAGGAAAACACAAACAGAAATTCACAGACTGTTTACAAAGTCAGTCAAAAGAAAAAACCTGCTCTGAGGTATCCTAGAAAACAGCACAAAGCTCTACCTTTCTGTCATTAAAAAAAAATATGGCTTTTGATATCTATTAATATACAGTAAGAATAATTCCGTGATTTAATCTCAAGCCTTTTGGAAATCCCAGCTCTTCCCGCTATTGCATTATAGTGCAACACAGCAAGTCATTTATCTCCAGTGGCACAGTGTATTTTCCAACTTTATTAGTTCTCGTGCCATTTGGCTTGCAATACCTGCATTCTACGGTGTATTATTTGAAGAGCCACAGCCATGTAATCAAATATTATTTAATAAGCATACAAGCAATACACTGCCAACACAAGGCCTTCACTATACATTTTAGATGATCTTAAACATCTGTTGGGCCAGCCTGTGGAATTTCTAGATTTTAATATGGAGAGGGGAATACCACACCAAGACCACATCCCTTAACACTTTTATGTATGATGATGCAAGGAAGTGTTTTCTTAATATTCAAACAAAGCAGAGCCCTCCAAGTCCTGTCCAAAAAAAAAAAAAGAAGGATTTTCTACCCTAATGCTCTTTGCAAGGTGTTGAGGTCTGACATTACCTCCTTCCTCCCAAAGGAGCTTCACAAGACCCTTGCCTACCTCATGGAGCTCTACAGCAGGTGTGGGGAATGTGCTCTGCTTCACAAATGAGTGAGGTATCACATGGGCACACCAGGATGACCATTGCCTACCCCCTTCATCCAGTTCATACCCAAACAGGAACATAAGAAAACTGCCCTCCTCTACTTTAGGAGTACACAGCAGTAGGGACTGGAGGAGCCTTATGTAGAGATAATCCCAAGCACACCTTTGGGTGAACGAGATCACACAGCCCGTGAGGCTGCTCATGGGACAGCAGCTGGGAGCTTGTGGCTTGACTTAGGTTAGTTTACAGACTACCCACGCTGCAAATGCTGCAGCACTAGTAAACTTGACTTCCCTCCTGACTAAACCAGGCTGGACAAAAGGAAGCAAGGCAACAGCTGAAAGATTTACGTTCAACCTCACATGCTGTAAATCTCAGCAGATGACAAGCCTCTGTAACTGTGCCATGCCTCCATCTCCGTCTCAACTATTACATTGCAGCCAAGAACCTGGGAGCAGCAAGTACCTGCACAGTGTAGCTCACCACTGGATGAGGCAGGCCCTTAGATCCAAAGAGGACAGGCAAGTCTCAGAGCCTATTTCCTCTGGGAGCCTCTATTAAGAACCCAGTTTGAAATGGCAATTCCTGCCCTTGCAGGAGACAGTAACTTGCAGTGCCTAACAGGACATAAGCATCCCATCCTCATCCTTTGTAACCCTACCATACCTTGCTCAGGGCAAAGTTGCTCAGGGCTCAGTCAGGCTCTGGATATGGAGACTGCACAACCTGTCAGACAACCTGTTCCAGTCTTTAAGCGCCCTCACAATTAGAAAAAAAAAAAAAATGTTCAGATGGAATTTCCAGTGTTTCAGCTTGTGCCCATTATCTCTTGTCCTGTCACTCTTGCTCAGGCACCAAGAAGAACCCAGCTCCCCCTTCCTCATTCCCTCTCCCCACATATTTATACAGTGATGAGATCCCCCTGAGCCCTCTCTGCTCCAGGCTGAACAGTCCCAGCTCTCTCAGCCTCTCCTCCCAAAAGATGCTCAGGTCCCTTTGTCATCTTCATGGCCCTTTGCTGGGCTCTTTGCAGCATGTCCATCTCTCTTGAACTGGAGAGACCAAAACAGAACACACTAGTCCAGGTGTGAAAGCTTTGCGGTTTTGTAACTGCCCAAGGGAAATCTGTAGAGTTACTTCCTCACCTTTTACAAGACAAAGCCACCTCTGTAAGAGCTTCCTGGACAAGCCCAACGGTCAAACTTCTCAGAGTGACTCATTAGCACTCTATTCACACACATTTTTACCCTGACACCCTCCTGCTAGCCTTAATGTCCATTGCTGAATCTAGCCAAAAGATTTAGCATTTTCATTTCCTGAGAAAGGAGAGCTAATTGAGACCATGGCTGCAGGTGCAATAAGGCAGCTGAAAAATTTTGCAAGCTGGACCCAGTCAAGGCCCTACTCAGCACAGGCCTCCTGCTGCCTCTCCACATCCCAGTTTGAGCTCCTGCTGCTCCTCACCCAGGGTGGCTCGAATGTCCCTGAGCAAAAGCTACTGCCCTTACCTGCATAGGGTTACAAATTTGTTCTCTCTTTGCTGCCAACACTGTTACTTGCTTCTCTCTCCTAAACCTATAGGTGAACACACCGAGCATATCTTTCCTGAGATCTCAAGGGTCTTCCAGATTAGATGCTTTACTAGTTTAAGCAGTAAAGTTTCCTTTAAGGAATAGGGGGTAAAAAGAAAAAAAAAAGAAAGCAAAAGAGAGACCTGCCTATGAATCAAAGTCTATTAGATGTTTACTTAACTAACAATAAGCACTGCTAAGATTAGTTCATTCTGTTAAGGACTGA